CCACTGGGATTTTTGCCCATTCTTCAAGGCAAAACTGCTCCAGCTCCTTCAAGTTGGATGGGTTCCGCTGGTGTACAGCAATCTTTAGTCATACCACAGATTCTCAATTGGATTGAGGTCTGGGCTTTGACTAGGCCATTCCAAGACATTTAAACCACTCAAGTGTTGCTTTAGCAGTATGCTTAGGGTCATTGTCCTGCTGGAAGGTGAACCGCCGTCCCAGTCTCAAATCTCTGGAAGACTGAAACAGGTTTCCCTCAAGAATTTCCCTGTATTTAGCGCCATCCATCATTCCTTCAATTCTGACCAGTTTCCCAGTCCCTGCCGATGAAAAACATCCCCACAGCATGATGCTGCCACCACCATGCTTCACTGTGGGGATGGTGTTCTCGGGGTGATGAGAGGTGTTGGGTTTGCGCCAGACATAGCGTTTTCCTTGATGGCCAGAATACCTTATTCCACATGTTTGGGAAGTCTCCCACATGCCTTTTGGCAAACACCAAACATGTTTGCTTATTTTTTTCTTTAAGCAATGGCTTTTTTCTGGCCACTCTTCCGTAAAGCCCAGCTCTGTGGAGTGTACGGCTTAAAGTGGTCCTATGGACAGATACTCCAATCTCCGATGTGGAGCTATGCAGCTCCTTCAGTGTTATCTTTCGTCTCTTTGTTGCCTCTCTGATTAATGCCCTCCTTGCCTGGTCCGTGAGTTTTGGTGGGCGGCCCGCTCTTGGCAGGTTTGTTGTGGTGCCATATTTGTTAATTTTTTTTATAACGGATTTAAAGGTGCTCCGTGGGATGTTAAAAGTTTCGGACATTTTTTTATAACCCAACCCTGATCTGTACTTCTCCACAACTTTGTCCCTGACCTGTTTGGAGAGCTCCTTTGTCGTCATGGTGCCGCTTGCTTGGTGGTGCCCTTTTTCTTAGTGATGTTGCAGACTCTGGGGCCTTTCAGAACAAGTGTATATATACTGAGATCATGTGACAGTTCATGTGATACTTAGATTGCACACAGGTGGACTTTATTTAACTAATTATGTGACTTCTGAAGGTAATTGGTTTTACCAGATCTTATTTAGGGGCTTCATAGCAAAGGGGGTGAATACATATGCACGCACCACTTTTCCGTTATTTATTTTGTATAATGTTTTGAAACAAGTTATTTTTTTAATTTCACTTCACCAATTTGGACTATTTTGTGTATATCCATTACATGAAATCCAAATAAAAATCTATTTAAATTACAGGTTGTAACGCAACAAAATAAGAAAAACGGCAAGGGGGATGAATACTTTTGCAAGGCACTGTACATGGGACAGCAGCGTTGGCTGTGTGTGTGTCTGTGTGTGTACAGTATGTGTGTGTTTGTGAGTATGGGCGTATGCGTGTGAGTGTATACAGTATGTGAGTACAGGAGTCTGCGTGTTTATGAGGTGTTGCCTACCCTCACCACCTGGGGTCGGCCCGTCAGGAAGTCTAGGACCCAGTTGCACAGGGAGGGGTTCAGTGCCAGGGCCCTGTGCTTAGTGACACTCTTGGAGGGTACTAGCAAACAAGAGCTTATTGTGTTGTTGAGTACTTGGTTTATTATGAGCTGTGATGAAAAACTAGAGAACATTGCTAATAGTAAAATTCCAATTTGATCAAGACCACCTCTTACTTTTAAGAGAAAAAACAGATAAACAATGTTACAGCAAAGTGTAAATTAAAACATTTTGTAGTACCTTGATGTTCTTATTGGAGAAAAACAGAAAACAAGTCTTATTCAGATTAGATAGAATTTGCATAATCAGATATTGTGGAAGTGCCTAATGAAAGTCTACACACCCCTTGCACAGTCTTCACATTTTGATGCCTTAAAATAAAATCAAAACATTTTTCCATTAGATTTTTTTTGTACCAATGTACACAACCTACTCCACATTTCGAAAGTGAAGGAAACATTTCAGAACATTTTCCAAATTAATAAAAAATAAAAATGAAGATGTCTTGATTGCGAATGGCTTCACATCCCAGAGTTAATACTTGGTGAAAGCACCTTTGGCAGCCATTACAGCTGTGAATAATTTTGAATAATCATTTTGCACAACTCTTAGGGAAACATATCCATTGTTTTTGTCAAAATTGCTCAAGATCAGCAAATTTGGTTGGGAGTCATTAAAGGACAGCATTATTCAAACCTTGTCTCTGGACCATTCAGGAACACTTAACGTCTATTGGAAAGCCATTCTGATGTGTCTTTGGCATAAAAACATTTATAATTGTCCCGCTGAAAAATAAAACCCTATCCCAGGGTTAGGTATTCAGAAGACTGAGGCAGGGTTTCCTCTAACTTTTTATCTGCTCCTTTCATTTGATCATGACAAACTCCCCAGTCCCTGCCGGTGACAAGCATACCCATAACATGATGCTGCAACCACAACACTTGAAAATACAGAAAATATTACTTTCACTCCACATTACTGGCATGTATGATAAAGTGAAAAGAAGGAAGCCTGTGTTGAAAAATCCACTCCAAATCCTCCATTCTGTTTGCAACAAGGCAGTTAAGTAATACTGCAAGACAACACGGCCTAAATTAAAAACTTCAGGTTTGGGTCAAATCCAATACAACACAGCACAGAGTGAAACCCTCTGTATTTTCAAGTATTGTGATGGCTGCATCATGTTATGGGTATGCTTGTCACTGGCAGGGGAGAGTTTGTCATGATCAAAAGAAATATGAAAGGAGCAAAGGTTCTGAATACCTAACCCTGGGATAGTTTTATTTTTCAGAGGGACAATTTTTTTGCCAAACACACACCAGAATGGCTTTACAATAGGCGTTGAGTGTTTCTGAATTGTCCAGTATCATTCCTGACTTAAATATGCTTGAAAATCAGACACAAGGTTTGAATATTGCTGTCCATCAATGACTCCCAACCAAATTTACTGAGCTTGAGCAATAAATGTTGCCCTAAGAGTTGTGCTTCAATCTCAGTGCCTCTTTGCTTGACATCATGGGACAATCAAAAGAAATCAGCCAAGACCTCAGGAAAGTAAATGGTAGACCTCCACAAATCTGGTTCATCCTTGGGAACAATTTCCAAACGCCTGAAGGTACCACGTTCATCTGTACAAACAATAGTACGCAAGTATAAACACCATGGGACCACGCAGCCGTCATACCGCTCAGGAAGGAGACGCGTTCTGTCTCCTAGAGATGAACATACTTTGGTGCGAAAAGTGCAAATCAATTCCAGAACAACAGCAAAGGACCTTGTGAAGATGCTGGAGGAAACAGGTACAAAAGTATCTATATCCACAGTAAAACGAGTCCTATATCAACATAACCTGAAAGGCCACTCAGCAAGGAAGAAGCCACTGCTCCAAAACCGCCATAAAAAAGCCAGACTACGGTTTGCAACTGCACATGGGGACAAATATCATACTTTTTGGAGAAATGTCCTCTGGTCTGATGAAACAAAAATAGAACTGTTTGGCAATAATGACAATCGTTATGTTTGGAGGAAAAAGGGGGTGCTTGCAAGACCAAGAACACCATCCCAACTGTGAAGCATGGGGGTGGCAGCATAATGCTGTGGGGGTGCTTTGCTGCAGGAGGGATTGGTGCACTTCACAAATTATATGGCATCATGAGGAAGGAAAATTATGTGGATATATTGAAGCAACATCTCAAAACATCAGTCAGGATGTTAAAACTTGGTCGCAAAAGGGTCTTCCAAATGGACAGTGAACCCAAGCATACTTCCAAAGTTGTGGCAAAATGGCTTAAGGACAACAAAGTCAAGGTATTGGAGTGGCCATCACAAAGCCCTGACCTCAATCCCATAGAAAATTAGTAGGCAGAACTAAAAAAGCGTGTGCGAGCAAGGAGGCCTACAAACCTGACTCAGTTACACCAGCTCTGTCAGGAGGAATGGGCCAAAATTCACCCAACTTATTGTGGGAAGCTTGTGGAAGGCTACACGAAACGTTTGACCCAAGTTAAACAATTTAAAGGCAATGCTACCAAATACTAATTGAGTGTATGTAAACTTCTGACCCACTGGGAATGTGATGAAAGAAATCAAAGCTGAAATAAATAATTCTCTCTACTATTACTCGGACATTTCACATTCTTAAAATAAAGTGGTGATCCGAACTGACCTAAGACAGGGCATTTTTACTAGGATTAAATGTCAGGAATTCGGAAAAACTGAGTTTAAATGTATTTGGCTAAGGTGTATGTAAACTTCCGACTTCAACTGTACGCATATTTATTTCACTTTGAAAATGTGGAGTAGGTTGTGTAGAACGGTAGAAAACCCCCCAAATGTATTCCCTTTTGAGATAACATTTTAAAGCAGCAAAATGTGCACCGTGCAAGGGGTGTGTAGACTCACTAGCGACTATATATCTATTCATCAAAACAATATAAGGGGCACATTTTCTGTCAACTAATGAGGAAACTACCATTGAGGGAAGCACTAATGTCATGCCATTATGTAATTTCACATAAGAGAACACAAAAATTAGAATGACATTTACACTTTCCCTTCAATTTTGGACATTTAACTGTTGTTATGGGAAGGTGAATTGTCTGACATAAACACTATAAACACATGAGCCATCTGTTTGGCTAGGGGTTATCCCAACCTATGACTGAATTAGCTGTGCTTTAAAGGGAAGGTCACTGCAATCAACTCGTTAAAGTGGAGCGGTAGAGAGAGCACACTCCACCCCTCTGGACAGGTAATCTGATTGTAGATTGGGGCAGTAAAGAACTGATTACCTGATGGGACTCACTCTCAGTCAGATCACAATTGGTGATGGTGGACATGACCGGAAACATAAAATAATTTGGCTGGAAAAGACCATGCAGGGTGGGGGCGAGGAAAGAGAGACATGGTGTGGATGAGGTGGGCAAGGATGGGGGGGGGGGGGGGTCCACTGATGAGCTGAAAGGAGGAGGAGGATGGTATATATATGAGGAAGTGCACGCCTTTTTCCAGAGACCAATCCACTGTGTTACCGCCTCAGCAAGAGAGATAGAAACAAGAAGACAGAAGAGAAAGAAGTAGACCAGAGAAACAATCTGTGTGGACGAACACCCACACAGGGATCCACAGATATCAATCCAGCCAGTCGTGATGCATGTGTTGCCAGTACTACTGCCCCTGCTGCTGTGTGTGGCAGTGGGGTTGAGCCAGGTGAGGGCGGAGGTGAGCGTTGTGAAGCTGTGTGGCAGAGAGTTTCTCAGGGCCGTCGTCTACACCTGTGGAGGCTCCCGCTGGAGACGGATTCTCAACGAACCGGAGCAACTAGAGGGTGAGTTAACCATATCTACCTTCTACTTTAAACCATCTCTGTTACCCCCACTTTTCACTTTCTCCTTTTCCATGTTACCCCTTTTCATTACATGCTTAGGTTTACAGACCTGACTATCCATTTCTGATCCATATCCTCCTACTTACACTTCTTTGGTCCTCTGTAGCTCAGCTGGTAGAGCACGGCGCTTGTAACGCCAAGGTAGTGGGTTCGATCCCCGGGACCACCCATACACAAAAATGTATGCACGCATGACTGTAAGTCGCTTTGGATAAAAGCGTCTGCTAAATGGCATATTATTATTATTTAAACATATTTCATGTGGTATCTTCACTTAAACTCAGATTCCCACTCACACCACTGACATTTTACGTCAGGAGTTATTCCACTTGATAAACAGAATGACATAAATTGACCAGACAATGTATCTGTGAGTCAGTGATGGGGTCTGTCTGCAGCAGTTGATCCTCTGGCTGGGTCATGTAGGTATTTTATGCTGTATGGTTCTCTGGAACATTCAAACCTAGTGGAACCCAGGTCTCCTCATCTGATTGTGATGCTAATGCTATCAGGGTCAGCCAGCATGTTCCCATTGGACAGACAGCAGCAGGCTAACCCAGTTAACACATTAGCCATGCTCATTAGAACCAGTTAGAGGAACAGATACTGGACAAGACAGATAGCACCGGCAAAACCTGTACAATAATTTAGGGGTTTCCTCATTTGACAGGACCATGTACAGCAATTACGCTGTTAAACATAGACTGCAGATAAGATATCACTCACAGACAATCAGCAAGCAGTCACCCACACAAAATCTGTCAGCGATCACTGCCTCATTGCCTGCGTCCGTAATGGGTCCGCGGTCAAACGACCACCCCTCATCACTGTCAAACGCTCCCTAAAACACTTTAGCGAGCAGGCCTTTCTAATTGCCCCATTCAAGAAATTCAGAACTAAGAACAGATATAGCCCCTGGTTCACCCCAGACTTGACTGCCCTTGACCAGCACAAAAACATCCTGTGGCATACTGCATTAGCATTGAACAGCCCCCACGATATGCAACTTTTCAGTGAAGTCAGGAACCAATATACACAATCAGTTAGGAAAGCAAAAAGGCTAGCTTTTTTAAACAGAAATTTGCATCCTGTAGCACTAACTCCAAAAAGTTTTGGGACACTGTAAAGTCCATGGAGAATAAGAGCACCTCCTCCCAGCTGCCCACTGCACTGAGGCTAGGAAACACTGTCACCAGCGATAAATGTACGATAATCGAGAATTTCAACAAGTATTTTGCTACGGCTGGCCATGCTTTCCACCTGGCTACCCCTACCCCGGCCACCAGCTCGGCACCCTCCGCTGCAACTTGCCCATGCCACCCCCCCCCCCCCCCCCACCCCCCCGCTTCTCCTTCACCCAAATTGAGACAGCTGATGTTCTGAAAGAGCTGCAAAATCTGGACCCCTACAAATCAGCTGGGCTAGACAATCTGGATCCTTTCTTTCTAAAATTAGCCGCCGAAATTGTCGCAACCCCTATTACTAGCCTGTTCATCCTCTCTTTCGTATCATCTGAGATCCCCAGAGATTGGAAAGCTGCCCTCTTCAAAGGGGGTGACACTCTAGATTCAAACTGTTACATACCTATATCCATCCTGCCCTGCCTTTCAAAAGTATTTGAAAGCCAAGCTAACAAACAGATCACCGATCATTTCGAATCCCACCGTACCTTCTCCGCTATGCAATCTGGTTTCTGAGCTGGTCATGGGTGCACCTCAGCCACGCTCAAGGTTCTAAACGATATTATAACCGCGATCGATAAAAGACGGTACTGTGCTGCCGTCTTCATCGACCTGGCCAAGGCTTTCGACTCTGTCAATCACTGCATTCTTATTGGCAGACTAAATAGCCTTGGTTTCTCAAATGACTGCCTCGCCTGGTTTACCTACTTCTCAGATAGAGTTCAATGTGTCAAATAGGAGGGCCTGTTGTCTGGACCTCTGGCAGTCTCTATGGGGGTGTCACAGGGTTAAATTCTCGGGCCAACTCTATAATCTGTGTATATGATGTCGCTCTTGCTGCTGGTGACTCTCGGATCCACCTCTACGCAGACGACACCATATTGTATACATCTGGCCCTTCATTGGACACTGTGTTAACAAACCTCCAAATGAGCTTCAATACCATACAACACTCCTTCCGTAGCCTCCAATTGCTCTTAAACGCTAGTAAAACTAAATGCATGCTCTTCAATCGAACGCTGCTTGCACCCGCCCACCCGACTAGAATCACTACTCTCGGCGGGTCTGACTTAGAATATGTGGACAACTACAAATACCTAGGTGTCTGGTTAGACTGTAAACTCTCCTTCCAGACTCACATTAAGCATCTCCAATCCAAAGTTAAATCTAGAATCGGCTTCCTATTTCGCAACAAAGCCTCCTTCACTCATGCTGCCAAACATGCCCTCGTAAAACTGACTATCCTACCGATCCTTGACTTCGGCGATGTCATTTACGAAAAATAATTAAAAATAAAAATGAATGCACTGTAAGTTTTGCTCTGGATAAGAGCGTCTGCTAAATGACTAAAATGTAAAATGTAAATGTAATTTACAAAATAGCCTCCAACACTCTACTCAGCAAATTGGATGTGGTCTATCACAGTGCCATCCGTTTTGTCACCAAAGCCCCATATACTACCCACCATTGTGACCTGTACGCTCTCGTTGGCTGGCCCTTACTACATATTCGTCGCCAAACTCACTGGTTCCAGGTCATCTATAAATCACTGCTAGGCAAATACCCCGCCTTATCTTAGCTCATTGGTCACCATAGCAACACCCATCCGTAGTCTGCGCTCCAGCAGGTATATCTCACTGGTCATCCCCAAAGCCAACACCTCCTTCGGCCGCCATTCCTTCCAGTTCTCTGCTGCCAATGACTGGAACGAACTGCAAAAATCTCTGAAGCTGGAGACTCTTATCTCCCTCACTAACTTGAAGCATCAGTTATCAGAGCAGCTTACCAATTACTGCATCTGTACACAGCCCATCTGTAATTAGCCCAACCCAACTACCTCATCCCCATATTGTTATTTATTTTGCTCATTTGCACCCCAGTATCTCTATTTGCACATCATCTTCTGCACATCTATCACTCCAGTGTTAATACTAAATTGTAATTATTTTGCATTATGGCCTATTTATTGCCTTACCTCCATAACTTACTACACTGTATATCGATTTTCTATTGTGTTATTGACTGTACGTTTTGTTTATCCCATATGTAACTCGTTGTTGTTGTTGTTTTTAATCGCACTGCTTTGATTTATCTTGCCCAGGTCGCAGTTGTAAATGAGAACTTGTTCTCAACTGGCTTACCTGGTTAAATAAAGGTGAAATAAAATAAAATAAATAAAATAAAATAAAAAATATGGACGGTTTTACTTTTGGCTTGGATAACATATTATTTTTGTTGACTGCTTTCATTCTTGATAAGGTGTTTTTGTAAAGCAAGATGGAGTGATGGTATGAAATACCTGAATTCATATTATACTGTAATAGCATGTTATTTTATGTAATAATCAATGATATTGATCAATGTCATGTGCAGGTTTGGCAAATGGGGAGCAGCAGCAGAGCAGCCTGGAGGACCTGAAGGCCAGTCTGGGGTCAGAGTTCAGCAGACGGGACCTGAACAAGATGCTGACCACCGTGTGCTGCCAAGTGGGCTGCAGGAAGAGCGACCTCACATATCTCTGTTGAGACCCGGTGGTCTTTGTGGTTAACCTTTCACCCCCTCCCAAACAGACTTGCTTTCCTCCTCTCCAAATCTGTCTTGCCTTCTTCCGAAAAACTGAAATAGGGTGCATTTGTTTTATCTCACCCTGTGCGCCGGTGTCACTTTACGACATTGTAATGGTCTAAAATGTGCAAACTCCGCTCATACGGTGAGGTAAAACAAATGCATCCATAGAAAAAAAAAAAGAATGTTATGTATTATATTATATCCTCAACCGTTTCGGCCAATCACAATACTTGCACAGAACAATCAAAAATAGATGTTTGAAATCAGAGCTTAAAGATAGAGCTTTTTACCTAGCTGTTGTTATCATAGATTTAGTACATAGTAGTGGTTGAGGGGACTTTTACTTGTCGTGTTGATGTGTTTGGATTACAAAGAGGGAGCAGGGAACTGTTTTCCTGTCATAGTTTGTATCTCATGAAGTTTATGCACAGGATAGAAACCAGCCTCTGTTATATGTGTCGATGATGAGAGAGTTAAGAATGAAGCTGAATAAAGGGAATTTCATGTAACTTTTTGAAAAGACTAGTTCTGATTGTACCATATATTTTGCTAGCCCTAGTCTAATAAATGTTGCTTGACATGCATAGGGGTGTGATTTTAATTCACTGTGGATTATTGCAACGCTTTGATCATTTTGGCTCACTACATTCTTTCATTACATACCGTCAGTCATAAGCTCATCTCCATCCATCTTAAAAGGGACAATCTGCAGTTGCTACATCCATTTTGTATGCCTCATGAACTTAGTTCAACTGTCATACCCCATCAGACACCAAAATATAAGCTTGTTTTACTCCAATGTCTGTAAACAAAGTAAATGTAAACATATAGCCTCAAAACATTATTAAAACTATAATTTTGATATTATGGATGGTCAGTCCTTGAAACTATCTCTGTCGATGAATTTCCAGCCCCATCCCTCAGCTTTTTAGAGAAACTGGGGCAGGTATTTTGATATTGTTTCAACTGCTGATTGCTGCTTTAACTGACACCGCAAGTTGAGGCTACAGGACAAAAGACAGATGAACAATGCCACAGCACCTAAAGACTAATAAACCTAAACAAAGCAATAGTGTCTGCAAGTACAGACTACAGACTACAAAGAGAGCAGGTAAAATGAGTTAGTTGTAATGTATGTACTATATACTACAATAGTTCTGTCATCATCTATCCGTACAGCACCGTCATCCCCTCCAATACAAAACTAACAACAGGGAATTCCCCACTCAGATGATTGTCAGGTCTTACCTGGAGTACTGTGTGTTGCAAAGGTGTTACCTCATGTTTCATCCTCTGGGAGAAGGATCTGAATGTTTGGCAGAGGAAATACACTGAGTGTACAAAACATTTCCATGACATAGACTGACCACATGAATCCAGGTGATGCTATGATCCCTTATTGATGTCACCGGTTAAATCCACTTCAATCAGTGTAGATGAAGGGGAGGAGACAGGTTAAAGAAGGATTTTTAAGCCTTAAGGCATGGATTTTGTATGTGTGCCATTCAGAGGGTGAATGGGCAAAACAAAATATTTAAGTTATTTTGAACTGGGTATGGTAGTAGGTGCCAGGTGCACCGGTTTGAGCGTGTCAAGAACTGCAACGCTGCTGGGTTTATCACACTCAACTGTTTCCCGTGTGGATCAAGAATGGTCCACCACGCAAAGGACATCCAGCCAACTTAACACAACGGAAGTATTGAAGTCAACATGGGCCAGCATCCCTTTGGAACGCTTTTGACACCTTGTAGAGTCCATGCCCCGACAAATTGAGGCTGTTCTAAGGGCAAAAGGGGGTTGCAACTCAATATTAGGAAGGTGTTCCTAATGTTTTGTACACTCGGTGTATATGCATTGTGAGGGATGGTGTGATAATAGTGCAGAACAGGAAATGTAGACTTCTTCTAATTCTTCCTAGACAAGTCACAACCATTAAAGTTATTGAAAGGAAAGAAATCCTTTGTATGCATACTGAATTGGACTAAAATAACAGAATACAAACCAATTGATTAAACATAATTGATACGCCTACTTTATTTCCAAGAAAACTAGCATAGTGCGTCATCCTGCACATGTTTAGAACATTTCATTAGTACGGTACATTACATTAAACAATTGCATATTCAGTATCCTGTGCATTGGATAACACAAATAGATGAAATAACAAATATATCCATATGAATATAAAGGAAGCAAACATAAACATATACAGTACATTGAATTAAACTACAAGGCTAATCATATTACATCTCCTTTTGTCATCCCTCATAGCACACAATCATAAACAGCTGCTTATTCGCAGAAGGCTTAAAGACGATGTAATTATAGCCAACCTTGATGTGTTGTGCTGTACATCAGAACTCAAACTGGGTGGAGGACATATTGAATCAACTGTATCCGAGCGGTGAAAAACACTGTTGTGAAGAGAAAAGAGAAAAGAGAGCTCCATACACATGTGTCCAGCTCATAACTTTTATTGGTTTTTGGAAAAAAGCAAACTAAGTTTCCCATCAGTTCCTCTTAACATTGTCTGTACAAACACAGCTTGCACATGTGGTTGATAGAGAGAGAAAGAGTACAGAACCCAAAGCAGTCTGGCTTAGCACGTCACACACAGACACACTCCCTGCTCTGGTCTTCAGTTCCCACATTTAACATAACAACAGGTCATAGAGTTAGTTAGTGGAGCACTTCACTTCAGGCCTATACTGTAACTGTATGCAGACGTACATTATATTATCCATGCCGGAAAACTTAGTTTGAACCCTTGTTACTAAACTGCTATACAGAGAGCTGCAGCACACCATTCATTAATGCCTTACTTAGAAATGCCAACTTTATGTTCAGACAACATGCAATCAACATGTAATCACAGTGCAACATTTCTATGGCAGTTCTATGACAGGCATATGAATGGTGCTATGTAGCTTTATGAAGCACAGATATTATTTTGACATACTTATGATGCCTACATGAGTAGACCTTTTGAGTTAAATGTCGTCACACACATTTCTGTTCTCTATGTTGAATATCAGAGCATTCAGGAAGTTTATAACATTATCAGCACAGTGCTCTTCACACGAAACAAGATTTATTTTTCATTTTTTAGTCAGTTTTAAAAATATTCAGCATATTTCTCTCTCTTATAGAAGACTGTCTGGAGGACACACATAAAATACAAAAAGCGTTTTGGTCATCTAACCTCCCTCTAAAACCTCGTCACCATGTCATCTCACAGAGACCGTTCCCATTATGCAAAATAAAGCCATGGATTCAAGCGCTGGTTGGTTTGACCCGAAGGGGAGTGTTCATGCTGTTTGACGCAGAATAATATGCATTCAGTGGGTTTCAGGTAGGTAGAAACACATTGAGGTGAATGGAAATAGGGCCTAAAATGGTCAAAAGCTGACTGACGATCCATGGTTATAACTTTCATAAAGCATGACATACGCATCCAGGTAGATATTCATCTTTAATTTATTTTTTACTTTTTTTCTCCCACCCAATGCCCATATATAGCTCAAATCTTCTGTTGCACTTCAGTTAAAAAATTATATCTGAAATAAATTCAAAAATTATACATTATACTGTACACAGGTTACCCAACTACACAGATAACAAAAAAGATAATTCAAATATGTATACCTTTAAGGATTCTAAATTGTGATACCATTCAAATTCTATTCATATACAGAATCACATACTTTATACAATAAATCATTATCATCAATAAATAAAAATAGAATGCTGTAATGTACTCTGAAGTAAGTCTGCCACTGCTGTCTCAGGAACAACAGAAAGGCTATTTGACAATACAAGGAAAACACCAAACGCCCTTTAAGATATATATTATCAATTTAAAATGACACTTTGTACAGGTTTTTTCTAAAGGGAAACATCTTCTATTATTTTTTATATTGCAACCAGGAATTGATTTATTGTTGCAGCTGCCCAACTACTCAGGACTTCATAATATTAATATTATGTTGTGGAGGAAAATTATGAGAGGATGTTTGAAATGGGTATTAAATCAGTGCATTCAAAGACGGGAGAGGAGGAGTGTGTTGGTGATCTACATCATCCAAATAAACAATGTCCTTTGACATTGTCGTGCCAGTGTGTAGGGCAGGCTAACAAATTAACTGTTAAAGCCAACAGCATAAAAACTCTATTACCCAGAACCCTATGGTAGCTCTAACTGTGTACAATCACAGGCATGTGAGAGGCAGCATGAGGAAGAACTAGCCCTCTGTTAAGCCAGAGATCTGTATATAATAACGAAATGCTCATGTCTCCGCCCTAACAATGGTAGTCGTTGTCCCAAAGGCGGGAAGGTAGGCGACAAAGCTTAAGTTGAAAAAAAAGCCCATAGAAACACATTGGCCTTATTTTGGACAGATTTTGACGAGAGCGAAACCTCTCGCTTCGCCTCTTCCTCTAGTTAAGGTGACTGGAGGAGTGTGACATCATGGTGCGCCTATTCATCTATAGTTCACGCAATGACACAACCCAATGGTCTTCTTTTACATGCATCCTCATCCTCTCTTGTTAATGCGTCTAAAATAAATACAGTGTTTTGTTCACCATTGCAACCGTGGGTTTGTGGTTGCGGTACGGTTGATTAGCTAGGCAGCTGCAGCAGCGTTAAGGGTTAAACAACACCACATGTTGGAGAGGGGAGAGAGACAGTGGCATGTAGCTTTAGAGAGGGTCAACCTGGGGTGGGTGTCTATAACTGCAGCAATACAGATGTTCTGAAATGAATACATTTTACAAATACAATAATTACACCTTAAAACTGTCCACGACGCTAAATGCAAGTTTTACAATACTGCTGGGTACAGCAGGCTGTGGGGCCTGGGCATGTCTGTCTCGCGGGTTTAGAAAGGAGTGTCTGTCAGTCAGTCAGTCAGTCAGTCAGTCAGTCAGTCAGTCAGTCAGTCAGTCAGTCAGTCAGTCAGTCAGTCAGTCAGTCAGTCAGTCAGTCTGTCTGTCTGTCTGTCTGTCTGTCTGTAGGGAGGTGGGGGTGGTGTTGTAGGTTTTCATTACTCAGTGTAAGTCCATTGAGATGATGATGTTCAGTGTATTTGTTCAGTAGTGTTGTGCAGTAGTAGTGTGGCGTATCAGTTGTCTGCCAAGTATTTTCCTGAAAATGACAAACATGCTTAGATTACTATACGTTCGAATGCTTTTGGGTGAACAGAATCATACACCAACTAATATCATAGTGGGAAAATATGTGTGTCTAGTCTAATGATAATACACAATGATCGATCAAGTGATTTTATTTCATTCTTGCTCGCAGTCTAAAATACTGAATAATGCAGAATGCACAGTTACATTGATCTACTCTACATGCTCATTCAAGTTGATCATTCAGTGATACTACTATTCCATTGACAGTGTCTCACCTGCAGCGAATCTCTTCTTGACGAGTGAGAAGCGGTACCCGGGCCCTGCCAGCTCTATATCACAGCCTGACAGAGTGCTGCCCTCACTGGTAAACTGGACCGCCAGGGGAGAGGGCTTACTGGGACCCTCCGACAACTGGAACCGTGCCAACAATGAGCCAACGCCTGGGGACGCACAGGGAGAGGGACAACGGCTCAACATAACAGCCATAAAAATGTCTTCATCATTATGCTATGACTTGTAGCACTTTGAGTTTGTGACACCACACGTTACAAATAAAATGCTTTATCATTATTATTACGTGCACAGACATTTCACACACACAAGTGCAACTCCACAGCACACAGTAGCATATGATGATTGTAGTTTGTCTGTTCCTTTTCTATTCGCTGATAGACTGTGTGTGGAACCATCTTCTGCCTGAAGGGGGCATCAGTGAGCTCAGCCTCAGTGAGTTAATGTAAATGAGGCAATGCATGTCATACAGTAATTCTATAAGGTCATACATAGATAATGACTTATTCACACTAGTGTAGCCATCTCTGGACTATGTCTTCCCTATAGGGGGGGGGGGGGGGGGGGGTTCTACTTCACTAACATATGGAATTGTTTTAAGATGGTCATAACATGGATCATTTAGCTATTTGATTTAGAATTTTAGGGCCCCTTTACGTATCCCAATATATATACAGCTCTGGAATAAAAGAGACCACTGCAAATTTTTCTTAAATCAGCATCTCTACATGTATGACAGCCATTCCATTCCAGTGTCTGTTGAATTCCAACACAGGCACACCTCATTCTACTGAATTAGGTACTGATTAGGTGATCACCTGAACCAAATTATATTTAACGAATAAAAGTATAAAACCACTGCTGTGGTCATCACTATCCTCTTGCAATAGGACCAGCTGGATGGCAAAAACAGTGCTAATAGTACCTCAAAAGTAATATTAATCAAAAAATAACTCTTGACCATGCCAAAAGAGTTGAAAAGGAAAGTTTTGAGTGAGGAAAAGAAGGGTTCAATTCTGGCTTTACTGGCAGAGGGATACAGTGAGCGTCAGGTTGCTTCCATCCTTAAAATTTCAAAGACGGCGGTTCATAAGAACAAGGTCAAGCAGCAGACATTGGGGACAACAAAGCTACAGACCGGCAGAGGGCGAAAACGACTCTCTACTGACCGGGATGACCACCAACTCATTTGAATGTCACTCAACAACCGTAGGATGACATCAAGTGACCTACAAAAATAATGGCAAACGGCAGCTGGGGTGAAGTGCACGGCGAGGACGGTTCGAAACAGGCTCCTAGGGGCAGGGCTGAAGTCGTGCAAAGCTAGAAAAAAGCCCTTCATCAATGAGAAGTAAAGAAGAGCCAGGCTGAGGTTTACAAAAGACCATAAGGATTGGACCGTAGAGGACTGGAGTAAGGTCATCTTCTCTGATGAGTCCAATTTTCAGCTTTGCCCAACACCTGGTTGTCTAATGGTTAGACGGAGACCTGGAGAGGCCTACAAGCCACAGTGTCTCACACCCACTGTGAAATTTGGTGGAGGATCGGTGATGCAGGTAGCTTAGTGGTTAAGAGCGTTGTGCCAGTAACCGAAAGGTCGCTGGTTCTAATCCCGAGCAGACTAGGTGAAAAATATGTCGATGTGCCCTTGAGCAAGGCACTTAATCCTAATTGCTCCTGTAAGTCGCTCTGGATAAGAGCATCTACTAAATGACTAAAAATGTAAAACATTTAAATGATCTGGGGGTGCTTCAGCAAGGCTGGAATCGGGCAGATTTGTCTTTGTGAAGGATGCATGAATCAAGTCATGTACAAGGTTGTCCTGGAAGAAAACTTGCTTCCTTTTGCTCTGACATTGTTCCCCAACTCTGAGGATTGTTTTTTCCAGCAGGACAATGCGCCATGCCACACAGCCAGGTCAATCAAGGTGTGGATGGAGGACCACCAGATCAAGACCCTGTCATGGCCAGCCCAATCTCCAGACCTGAACCCAATTGAAAACTTCTGGAATGTGATCAAGAGGAAGATGGATGGTCACAAGCCATCAAACAAAGCCGAGCTGCTTGGATTTTTGCACCAGGAGTGGCATAAAGTCACCCAACATCAATGTGAAAGACTGGTGGAGAGCATGCCAAGACGCATGAAAGCTGTGATTGAAAATCAGGGTTATTCCACCAAATATTGATTTCTGAACTCTTCTTAAGTTAAAACATTACTATTGTGTTGTTTAAAAATGAACATGAACTTATTTTATTTGCATTATTCGAGGTCTGACAACACTGCATCTTTTTTGTTATTTTGACCAGTTGTCATTTTCTGCAAATAAATGCTCTTTATGACAATATTGTTATTTGGAATTTGGGACAAATGTTGTCAGTAGTTTATAGAATAAAACAAAAATGTTAATTTCACCCAAACACATACCTATAAATAGTAAAACCAGAGAAACCTATATTTTTGCAGTGGTCTCTTAATTTTTTTAAAATGAACATGAACTTATTTTATTTGCATTATTCGAGGTCTGACAACACTGCATCTTTTTTGTTATTTTGACCAGTTGTCATTTTCTGCAAATAAATGCTCTTAATGACAATATTGTTATTTGGAATTTGGGACAAATGTTGTCAGTAGTTTATAGAATAAAACAAAAATGTTAATTTCACCCAAACACATACCTATAAATAGTAAAACCAGAGAAACCTATATTTTTGCAGTGGTCTCTTAATTTTTTTCAGAGCTGTATACAGTGGGGGAAAAGGTATTTAGTCAGCCACCAATTGTGCAAGTTCTCCCACTTAAAAAGATGAGAGAGGCCTGTCATTTTCATCATAGGTACACGTCAACTATGACAGACAAAATGAGAAAGGAAATTCCAGAAAATCACATTGTAGGATTTTTTATGAATTTATTTGCAAATTATGGTGGAAAATAAGTATTTGGTCAATAACAAAAGTTTCTCAATACTTTGTTATATACCCTTTGTTGGCAATGACACAGGTCAAACGTTTTCTGTAAGTCTTCACAAGGTTTTCACACACTGTTGCTGGTATTTTGGCCCATTCCTCCATGCAGATCTCCTCTAGAGCAGTGATGTTTTGGGGCTGTCGCTGGGCAACACAGACTTTCAACTCCCTCCAAAGATTTTCTATGGGGTTGAGATCTGGAGACTGGCTAGGCCACTCCAGGACCTTGAAATGCTTCTTACGAAGCCACTCCTTCGTTGCCCGGGCGGTGTGTTTGGGATCATTGTCATGCTGAAAGACCCAGCCACGTTTCATCTTCAATGCCCTTGCTGATGGAAGGAGGTTTTCACTCAAAATCTCATGATACATGGCCCCATTCATTCTTTCCTTTACACGGATCAGTCGTCCTGGTCTCTTTGCAGAAAAACAGCCCCAAAGCATGATGTTTCCACCCCCATGCTTCACAGTAGGTATGGTGTTCTTTGGATGCAACTCAGCATTCTCTGTCCTCCAAACACGACGAGTTGAGTTTTTACCAAAAAGTTCTATTTTGGTTTCATCTGACCATATGACATTCTCCCAATCCTCTTCTGGATCATCCAAATGCACTCTAGCAAACGTCAGATGGGCCTGGACATGTACTGGCTTAAGCAGGGGGACACGTCTGGGACTGCAGCATTTGAGTCCCTGGCGGCGTAGTGTGTTACTGATGGTAGGCTTTGTTACTTTGGTCCCAGCTCTCTGCAGGTCATTCACTAGGTCCCCCCGTGTGGTTCTGGGATTTTTGCTCACCGTTCTTGTGATCATTTTGACCCCACGGGGTGAGATCTTGCGTGGAGCCCCAGATCGAGGGAGATTATCAGTGGTCTTGTATGTCTTCTATTTCCTAATAATTGCTCCCACAGTTGATTTCTTCTAACCAAGCTGCTTACCTATTGCAGATTCAGTCTTCCCAGCCTGGTGCAGGTCTACAATTTTGTTTCTGGTGTCCCATTGACAGCTCTTTGGTCTTGGCCATAGTGGATGTTTGGAGTGTGACTGTTTTGAGGTTGTGGACAGGTGTCTTTTATACTGATAACAAGTTTCAAACAGGTGCCATTAATACAGGTAACGAGTGGAGGACAGAGGAGCCTCTTAAAGAAGAAGTTACAGGTCTGTGAGAGCCAGAAACCTTGCTTGTTTGTAGGTGACCAAATACTTATTTTCCACCATAATTTGCAAATAAATTCATTAAAATCCTACAATGTTGATTTTCAGGAAAAAAAACATCTCAATTTGTCTGTCATAGTTGACGTGTACCTATTATGAAAATTACAGGCCTCTCTCATCTTTTTAAGTGGGAGAACTTGGCACAATTGGTGGCTGACTAAATACTTTTTTCCCCCACTGTATATAAATATTGTGATCAAATATTGTATTTGGCCTTTACTACTATAGCCCATAGAAACACAAAGGACAGCTAAATAATAAGTCATAAGGAATAAGGTTTTGAAGTGTCTGTCCTATATCTAGGAGATATAATAAAGATATTGTTGTTTTTTTGGACACATATTTAACCCCTTATTTTTGTTGGCACAAAACTAGCTCCATACTTCCATTCATTTGTATGGGTTACCTTCAGACGAGTCCTGTGACACTTGTGGGGGTCGTAAAGCAAAACGGAGAACACCATCGTGTTCATCGTTTCTAGCCCAAACGGTTCGGACGCTACAGACGTTTTCACGAGAAGACCGATTCGGCCACCTTCCACCGCAGATATCTCTAGCTTAAACTGATGGATTTTGATGGGGATTTGTGTTTTATGTTACTTAGATTGACACATAGGTGCGTCAATAGACTCTTAAGCAAGTTGCAAATTACGGGAGAGCCAGGGGAGGCTCAGCTCCCCTGAATGAGACATTAGCTCCCCTAAATGCATTCTCCTATTTGTTAAAAATGTACTGGTAAATATGTTTTACAATGGTAAATATGAAAATAAAAGCTTCCAAATGAATCGAACAGCCCCACCTCTACGTCATGGTTCAAACCATTTATTTATATGTGGCAGCGTTGTCCACTCAGTATTTTTCCCTTTTTTTTTTTTTAGGGTTTTTTTTTTCCTACCCCGTCTTCTAAAAACCTGCATACTAGTTTTGGGGTTTTTGGCTGGGTTTTTTGTACAGCACTTGAGATATTAGCTGATGTAAGGGGGGCTATATAAAATAAAATTGTTTGTTTGATTGTTTGGAGGGGGCCAAAAAATCAGACCCTGTCATGGCCAGCCCATCTCCAGCCTGAACCCAATTGAAAACTTTGGAATGTGATCAAGAGGAAGAGGATGGTCCAAGCTCAACAAAGCCAGCTGCGGGGTTTTTGCCCCGGAGTGGCAAAAAGTCACCCAACATCAAGGTAAAGCGGGGGGAAGCAGCCAAGACGCATAAAAGCTGTGATTGAAAATCAGGGTTTTCCACAAATATTGATTTCTGAACTCTTCTTAAGTTAAAACATTACTATTGTGTTGTTTAAAATGAACATGAACTTATTTATTGCATTATTCGAGGTCTGACAACACTGCATATTTTTTGTTATTTTGACCAGTTGTCATTTTCTGCAAATAAATGCTCTAAATGACAATATTGTTATTTGGAATTTGGGACAAATGTTGTCAGTAGTTTATAGAATAAAACAAAAATGTTAATTTCACCCAAACACATACCTATAAATAGTAAAACCAGAGAAACCTATATTTTTGCAGTGGTCTCTTAATTTTTTCCAGAGCTGTATACAGTGGGGGAAAAAGTATTTAGTCAGCCACCAATTGTGCAAGTTCTCCCACTTAAAAAGATGAGAGAGGCCTGTCATTTTCATCATAGGTACACGTCAACTATGACAGACAAAATGAGAAAGCAAATTCCAGAAAATCACATTGTAGGATTTTTTATGAATTTATTTGCAAATTATGGTGGAAAATAAGTATTTGGTCAATAACAAAAGTTTCTCAATACTTTGTTATATACCCTTTGTTGGCAATGACACAGGTCAAACGTTTTCTGTAAGTCTTCACAAGGTTTTCACACACTGTTGCTGGTATTTTGGCCCATTCCTCCATGCAGATCTCCTCTAGAGCAGTGATGTTTTGGGGCTGTCGCTGGGCAACACAGACTTTCAACTCCCTCCAAAGATTTTCTATGGGGTTGAGATCTGGAGACTGGCTAGGCCACTCCAGGACCTTGAAATGCTTCTTACGAAGCCACTCCTTCGTTGCCCGGGCGGTTGTGTTTGGGATCATTGTCATGCTGAAAGAACCCAGCCACGTTTCATCTTCAATGCCCTTGCTGATGGAAGGAGGTTTTCACTCAAAATCTCATGATACATGGCCCCATTCATTCTTTCCTTTACACGGATCAGTCGTCCTGGTCTCTTTGCAGAAAAACAGCCCCAAAGCATGATGTTTCCACCCCCATGCTTCACAGTAGGTATGGTGTTCTTTGGATGCAACTCAGCATTCTCTGTCCTCCAAACACGACGAGTTGAGTTTTTACCAAAAAGTTATATTTTGGTTTCATCTGACCATATGACATTCTCCCAATCCTCTTCTGGATCATCCAAATGCACTCTAGCAAACTTCAGATGGGCCTGGACATGTACTGGCTTAAGCAGGGGGACACGTCTGGCACTGCAGCATTTGAGTCCCTGGCGGCGTAGTGTGTTACTGATGGTAGGCTTTGTTACTTTGGTCCCAGCTCTCTGCAGGTCATTCACTAGGTCCCCCCGTGTGGTTCTGGGATTTTTGCTCACCGTTCTTGTGATCATTTTGACCCCACGTGGTGAGATCTTGCGTGGAGCCCCAGATCGAGGGAGATTATCAGTGGTCTTGTATGTCTTCTATTTCCTAATAATTGCTCCCACAGTTGATTTCTTCTAACCAAGCTGCTTACCTATTGCAGATTCAGTCTTCCCAGCCTGGTGCAGGTCTACAATTTTGTTTCTGGTGTCCATTGACAGCTCTTTGGTCTTGGCCATAGTGGAGTTTGGAGTGTGACTGTTTGAGGTTGTGGACAGGTGTCTTTTATACTGATAACAAGTTCAAACAGGTGCCATTAATACAGGTAACGAGTGGAGGACAGAGGAGCCTCTTAAAGAAGAAGTTACAGGTCTGTGAGAGCCAGAAACCTTGCTTGTTTGTAGGTGACCAAATACTTATTTTCCACCATAATTTGCAAATAAATTCATTAAAAATCCTACAATGTGATTTTCAGGAAAAAAACATCTCAATTTGTCTGTCATAGTTGACGTGTACCTATGATGAAAATTACAGGCCTCTCTCATCTTTTTAAGTGGGAGAACTTGCACAATTGGTGGCTGACTAAATACTTTTTTCCCCCACTGTATATAAATATTTGATCAAATATTGTATTTGGCCTTTACTACTATAGCCCATAGAAACACAAAGGACAGCTAAATAATAAGTCATAAGGAATAAGGTTTTGAAGTGTCTGTCCTATATCTAGGAGATATAATAAAGATATTGTTGTTTTTTTGGACACATATTTAACCCCTTATTTTTGTTGGCACAAAACTAGCTCCATACTTCCATTCATTTGTATGGGTTACCTTCAGACGAGTCCTGTGACACTTGTGGGGGTCGTAAAGCAAAACGGAGAACACCATCGTGTTCATCGTTTCTAGCCCAAAACGGTTCGGACGCTACAGACGTTTTCAACGAGAAGACCGATTCGGCCACCTTCCACCGCAGATATCTCTAGCTTAAACTGATGGATTTTGATGGGGATTTGTGTTTTATGTTACTTAGATTGACACATAGGTGCGTCAATAGACTCTTAAGCAAGGTGCAAATTACGGGAGAGCCAGGGGAGGCTCAGCTCCCCTGGCCAGAAGTAGACCATTTATTTAGCTTTATTATTTTCTATCAATGTTTGTTTTCTTTCCTGGATCAGCTGATAATGGTCACCAATGTCACTAGACAACTAACCTACAGCTAGACACCAATGCACATCCAATCCATCCAACAAGTAGGCCAGGGTTTCCTAAACTCTGTTCTCGGGAACCCAATGGGTGCACGTTTTGGTTTTTGCCCTAGCACTACATAACTGATTCAAATAATCAACTAATCATTGAGCTTTGATAATTTAAATCAGCTGTGTACTGTTAGGGCAAAAAGCAAAATGTTCACCCCGTGGGGTCCCGAGGACCGAGTTTAGGAAACCCTGAAGTAGGCCTATAAGGTGACTCCTTCAGTTAGAAGAGTTTAACGTTTGGTTAGAAGTATTCCATTTTTCAATGGCGTAGGCCTACATTATATTTGATATGTGTGCCCATGAGAACTGTTTTCACGGCGAAACACAATGAAATGTTACGTAGGCATAGTTACACTAACAGTGGATTTTCTGAAATCTCCAAGATCCATGATTCATACAGGGTTTAAGTTATATGTTCTAATGCAATTGTAAAATGCTTAACAATGAGAAATAACACTGTCATAAATGTCATTAATGTAAGGAAAGAAAGGTAGTGTTTTATGTCACATGATCTGAGAATAATAATTATAATAATAATAATAATTGGTCATTTAGCAGACGCTCTTATCCAGAGCGACTTACAAGAGCAATTAGGGTTAAGTGCCTTGCTCAAGGGCACATCGACAGATTTTTTCACCTAGTCGGCTCGGGGATTAGAACCAGCGACCTTTCGGTTACTGGCACAACGCTCTTAACCACTAAGCTACCTGCTCTAAAACATGTTCTGATTCAACTCATGTATTATATTGAATGTAGGCTACCTGTTCTGCGTGTGTTCATGTGTGTAAAATTTCCTCGGCTGAGAGGGTAGACTACTGTCTGTGGTATAGGCCTAGTGGAGGGTAAACAACTAAATGCAGTGTAACCATCTTTTCACCACGATCGGTAATCAGAGTTTACCCACCTATTGTTTTACCACTACACCACTGGCTACCGGTAGGCCTATTTGAACTTCATGGTAATACATATTGTAGCCTAGTCTAGTAAGTTGACTAGGTGTGTTAGGGTGACAATCCTGTTTTTCCCGGGGCAGTTTCAACACCATTTCAGGTGTCCCGACTGTTCAGGCTACAAAAAAGTACAATTTGTCAGCAAGACGCATCGCTGAATGTCATTAGGAACACTTTTTGGTGTTTTGTAACAAATGTCTATTTCCATTCATCAAATGACGCGAGTATACATGCAGTTTGGATGCTGGAATTATTTTGGAGTGGACGAACATGCACAGGTAGCCTACTTTTTGAAGTGATTTGTTTGACAATCAGATGAAAATATCATGACTGGTTGTGTTCATGCCACATTAAAAGATAATTCATTCTTACCGTTTAAATGATGTCTTTATTATTAGTTCCATTTTTAAAAATTGCACGCCCCCCAAATGTCATGGTGTAATTTGCTTTCTGCTCTTAAAGATTTTAATACCTGAACATACACCCCAAATAAAGTTAGTCATGCAAAGCCAAGCTAAGATAGTAAACATTAGAGCCTGTTATTGGCATGACGTGATGCCACTGATTATTTTAGATTAGTACATTAGTGGAAACAAGGATAATACACTGTGTACAAAACATTAGGAACACCTTCCTAATATTGAGTTGCACCCTCTTTTGCCCTCAGAACAGCCTCAATTTGTCAGGGCATGGACTCTACAAGGTGTCAAAAGCATTCCACAGGGATGCTGGCCTATGTTGACTCCAATGCTTCCCACAGTTGTGTCAAGTTGGCCGGATGTCCTTTGGATGGTGGACCATTCTTGATACACACGGGAAACTGTTCTTGACACACTCAAACCGGTGTGCCTGGCACCTACTACCATACCCCGTTCAAAGGCACATCAATCTTTGGTCTTGCCCATTCACACTCTGAATGGCACACATTCACAATCCATGTCTCAATTGTCTCAAGGCTTAAAAATCCTTCTTTAACCTGTCTCCTCCCCTTCATCTACACTGATTGAAGTGGTTTTAACAAGTGACATCAATAACGGATCACAGCTTTCACCTGGTCAGTCTGTCATGGAAAGAGCAGGTGTTCCTAATGTTTTGTACACTCAGTGTATGATATTATTAGTGATTTCTCCTGGGCTTTGGTGTAAACAAGGTTATTTACCTCCATTTTCAGATTTCTGGGAAATATCGGGAATCTTCCACAGGATTCTCTGCTGCTCTGCGTTCCTGGAAGAACAGAATCAAACGTAATCTGTTACTCTTTAAAAGCCAGGAATAGGCTTAATCTGGGTTTGGGAAACTGGCTTTTTCAAACTCGCAAAATTGCCTTCTTCAGCACAGGGCTGAGCCATAGAGCCATGGGTTGTCTCCGGCAGGTGCAGCCTTCTACTTTTACTTATCAAATAAATTCAATTAAATTCAACAGAAACGCATTGTATATGGTTCGGACATACAGTATACTCCTCTGTCTTACCATGCGGCGGTGGGAAGCACGGCCTGTAGCTTGGTGACCCCTCCGTCCACGGGGATCAGGAACTGGACGTTGTTGAGCGCCACGGGTGTTGTCATGGCGTTGCCATTGTATTTGTAGTCTATTCGGAGGTCCGTGCTGGTGGGTGCACATCGCCAACTGGCTGCCAGGTTCAGGGGTGTTGAAATGAGGCCCTGCGCTGATACCTGCACACATAACAACCATAGAGATGAATCAATGACACAGACGTTTGTAGGGAACTGTGCATAATCTAGTATAAGAGTCGCTGACCTGGTACTTGAGCATGTCCACATTGTAGTAAGTGGCATGGGGTTTCTGCTCAGCCACCTTCTTTAGATGGGTCATCAGGTTTGGCATGTTCACCCAGAAGTTCTTGGAGTCAGGGTTGGGTGTTGTGGCGGTGTCACTATGTGGGCAATAATAGAAGACGATATGTATTTGATCATATTATCTAATGATTGATCCATCTAAACGTTATTCAACACAGAGACACAACAGAGTACGAGTTATATCTGTATCTACTACAGAGAGGACTGCTGCGGCGCGGCGATTGCAAACAGATACTCGTGCTACACAAAAACAACTGTGATGCCTTGTATGTGTGAGAGTGCAGAATAACCTTGGAATGAGGTGGTTAGTCAAACCACTGGGATGAATTCACAGTGACTCAGAGCCCAGTCAGAAATGGACTTGGGTGTATTGTTTTGGTACAGTATGATTTCACGTGCTCAATGTGACATGTTATAAATGCTACAGTGCCACATGATGTTGTGAGTGGTATGATGTGAGGGAAGTAACAGTGGTGTTTACCAGCATAATGTTTTGGTATAGTATGTTAAAGGTACAGTGTGATGTAATATTATGAACACTCCAGTGTATGATGTTGTGAGGGTTCCAGTATATTGAGGGGGTGTTACAGTGGGCCTTTACCAGCAGAGTAGCTGGGGGTTAGGCAGCACATGCTCCAGCCGGCTGTAGTTGGTTATGCTGAAGGTTAGCACGGCAGGGGACGGGTTATTGGCAAAGTGCCGAGTGATCCCCGCTGGAAACGACAGCACCATCTCACCTGTGATCTTCACAACACACCTTTAGACAGGGACAGGGGAGGAGGAGGTTAGAATGTCCAGAAGGGGAGAGAGTGGGACATGAAGCAGGGAGCAGGGAGATATAGAAAGGGTAAAAGAAAAAAAGACAGAGAGAAAGAGAGAAAGAGAGCGAAGGGGACAGAGATAATATAAAGGGAGGACAAAAGAGAAAGAGAGAAAGAAAGAAAGAGAGAGAGAGCAAAAGAGCAATACATACATTGACAGACATCTCTCTTATCAAGAGGTATCTGAGTGGACCTACTTGTTGGGGTCGGCTCCTTTGAAGAAGGCATTGACTGTCTCAGTAAAAGCTGCCGCCACCGGAAGGGTGTCCTGTGCCCCCATGGTGAGAGGGCTGGGGCCCCTGGAGCAGCCTGTTTAAATCAGCACACACACATGTTTAATAGCAATAAAGAGAGAGAGGAGGAAGGAGAGCGAGAGAGAGAGAGAGAGAGAGAGAGAGAGGAGAGAGAGAGAGAGAGAGAGAGGCAGACAGGCAGATAGAGAGACTCAGAGAAACAGACTGAAAATAGACCAGAGGGAGACAGTATGAGAAGCAGAAAGAGAGAGACTATCAGCATTAAACACAACCCACGTCTATAGTTCTCACAAACCAACAAAGCTACTCTTCTCTCAACCCTCTCCTAGCTGCTCCGCTACATCTCTATCCATAAGACTCCTCCCATTTCCTGTAGAACACCCTATTTCCTGTTTACTAACTATCTCAGCAGCAGTGTATGGATGAAGATGGAGAACCAAAGAGTGTGTGAGAGAACCACTGTGATTAAAACGATCAAAATGAGAACCAATACCTGTGTATGATGGGTCGGTTTGGCATCTACAGTACCAGTCAAAAGATTGGACACACCTAATCATTCAAGGGTTTTTCTTTATTTTTACTATTTTCTACATTGTAAAATAATAGTGAAGACATCAAAACTATGAAATAACACATATGGAATCATGTAGTAACCAAAAACGTGTTCAACAAATCAAAATGTATTTTATATTTTATATTCCTCAAAGTAGCCACCCTTTGCCTTGATGACAGCTTTGCACACTCTTGGCATTCTCTCTAGCTTCACCTGTAATGATTTTCCAACAGTTTTGAAGGAGTTACCACATATACACCTCATCCCAAACCATCTCAATTGGGTTGAGGTCGGGTGATTGTGGAGGCCAGGTCATCTGATGCAGCACTCTCCTTCATGGTAAAATAGTCCTTACACACCCTGGAGGTGTGTTGGGTCATTGTCCTGTTAAAAAACAAATGATAGTCCCACTAAGCACAAACCAGATGGGATGACGTATCGCTGCAGAATGATGTGGTAACCATGCTGGTTAAGTGTGCCTTGAATTCTAAATAAATCACAGACAGTGTCACCAGCAAAGCAGCCCCACACCTCCTCCTCCATGCTTCACGGTGGGAACCACACATGCGGAGATCATCCATTCACCTACTCTGCGTCTCACAAAGACACAACGGTTGGAACCAAAAATCTCAAATTTGGACTCATCAGACCAGAGGACAGATTTCCACCGGTCTAATGTCCATTCCTCGTGTTTCTTGGCCCAAGCTAGTATCTTCTTCTTATTTGTGTCCTTTAGTAGTGGTTTCTTTGCAGCAATTTGAACATGAAGGCCTGATTCACGCAGTCTCCTCTGAACAGTTGATGTTGAGATTTGTCTGTTACTTGAACTCTGTGAAGCATTTATTTGGCCTGCAATTTCTGAGGCTGGTAACTCTAATGAACTTATCCTCTGCAGCAGAGGTAACTCTGGGTCTTCCTTTCCTGTGGCGGTCCTCATGAGAGCCAGTTTCATCATAGCGCTTGATGGTTTTTGCGACTGCACTTGAAGAAGTTCTTGACATTTTCCGGATTGACTGACCTTCATGTCTTAAAGTAATGATGGACTGTCATTTCTCTTTGCCTATTTGAGCTGTTCTTGCCATAATATGGTATTTTACTAAATAGGGCTATCTTCTGTATACCAACCCTACCTTGTCACAACACAACTGATTGGCTCAAACGCATTAAGAAGGAAATAAATTCCACAAATTAACTTTTAAGAAGATACACCTGTTAATTGAAATGCATTCCAGGTGACTACCTCATTAAGCTGGTTGAGAGAATGCCAAGAGTGTGCAAAGCTGTCATCATGGCAAAGGATGGCTACTTTGAAGAATCTCAAATATAGCATTCTGCAACGATACGCCATCCCATCTGGTTTGCGCTTATTGGGACTATCATTTGTTTTTCAACAGGACAATGACCCAAAACACACCTCCAGGCTGTGCAAGGGCTATTTGACCAAGGAGAGTGATGGAGCGCTGCATCAGATGACCTGGCCTCCACAATCACCCGACCTCAACCCAATTGAGCTGGTTTGGGATGAGTTGGACGGCAGAGTGAAGGAAAAGCAGCCAACAAGTGCTCAGCATATGTGGGAACTCCTTCAAGACTGTTGGAAAAGCTTTCCTCATGAAGCTGGTTGAGAGAATGCCAAGCTGTCATCAAGGCAAAGGGTGGCTACTTTGAATAATCTAAAATCTACTCTAATTTACACTTTTTTGGTTACTACATGATTCCATATGTGTTATTTCATAGTTTTGATGTCTTCACTATTATTCTACAATGTAGAAAATAGTAAAAATAAAGAAAAAACCATTGAATGAGTAGTTGTGTCCAATCTTTTGACTTGTACTGTCTATCATCTCATTGCCTTGCTTGTGAATTAAATATTTGATGTACTATGTAAAAGGCCAGTTTCATTGTGATTCAGAAACACTGAAACGCACTGAAAAGACAGAAAGTAAGATATATGAAAAGGAGAGAAAGAGAGAGCGAGTTCATGCATATTCCAGACATGCTGTTGATGATGAATCCTTGTGACAAGATCAAAGACCAAAACCAAAACCCAAAAGAACAAAGAGAAGTGAGTCTACACAAAAAGAAGACAACACAAACAGAGATTAGTAGAGTACCTGAAGAATGAGGATCTTTAAGGAAATGACAGACTTGCGGCCACCGCATGTGAAATGAGAACGAATGACGACGCGAGGAGGAAGATGAGTGAGAAAGATGATAAGGGGGCTGCATGTAGAGAGGCTCAGGAGTTAGCTTGGAGGCAGTGAGTGTTGGGCCATGGGATGGAGGGGTGAGAGGAGGGAGGAGGAGGGGGGAGGAAAAGCTTGCACAGATGAGGCCCGTGTCGGGTCGGGTGAGTGTGCACACTACAGTTAGCTGTTGTGCAGACACAACTTACCTTCAAAGGTTAAATAAAACTTTCCTCTGTCAAACCAAACCAGGGAAGGCTGGTCATTCTCTGTGGTGGGGGGAGGGAGGAGGGAGGAGGGAGAGGAGGAAGGGAGGGTGGGTGGGTGGGTGGGTGAGAGGGGGAGGGAGAGAGAAGGACAGTAGCGTGAGTCACATGGCAGGTCTATCACAAGTCACAGTAAGGTGAGGTGGGGTACAGAGGGGCATGGCACAGCAAGCCAAAACACTGCCAGCACAGAACAGGACACCAAATGGTGTGTGTATGTCTTTGTGTAGGCTGCCTATGAGTTTTCACACTATTGTGCTGACCTGAACCGTATTGTTCTGGCTCTGATAATCTCTTTCCACATTGTCCTTTCCAGCATGGTTCCAGGCAGCAAAGGATCCATAGCCAGGTCAGATAAGCTCTGTACAGCTTGGCTCAGATCAGTAGTGTGAAACGGGTACGTGTGTGTGGGAGGGGGCTGGACCAGATGAAATAAGGTATCTCTTGGTGGATGGTGGTGGTGGATGTCTAGGAGCATGGTGAGAACAAGCCAAGCCTGGAGAGGACTGATTGGGAATGATACCTGGCAGATCGTTCATACTGCACATACAATATTCATCTACACACTGCTATAGAAAACCTTCATTACCATTATCATTACATTAATACTTTTACATCACATGCCAATAGTAGACTGTTTTACGTATCACACCGGCCATCGTCTTTCAGAATAGATGGACTCTGGCTGTTGGACCTGATGACGTACACCAGGGGGAAGTGATGAGGGTAAAACCAGGGGTGCTGGAGGGGGTTGGTGGGCTCACTGTTTAGGTGTGACTGCTGAGGGGGTGGTGGGGACCTTGGGATGCAGTGAATGGATGGATGGTGTGGAGGTGAATGGTGAATAGTGGGCAGGTGTTCTGATGGGGGTGCATGGTTAGAGTAGTGGAGTGTAGTGTAGTGGAGAAACACCTTCCCATGGGTGGAGTGAGAGGGTGAGAGGGCAGAGGATAAGGGGAAGTCTGGTACAGGGGGAGGGAGGTGGATGGGGATCAGGGTGAGAGGTTGGGAGGTGGGCACTGGAGAGCTCTTTCACTGGCTGCCTGCCTGTCTGTCTGTGATGATCTGAGTGGTGAGGAGAGGGTGGTGCGATGAATACCAACCAATTGGAAACACTCAGGCCAATTCTCCTGCCAGACTTCAAAAGCAGCTAGGCTCTGTCTCTATCACAGAGGGAGTGAGTGTGAGTGTGTGTGGATCTAGAGTGCCCACAGATGCCACAGAAGCTCTTCAGACAGGCTACATTCTTTACACACAGGAACACACACATATACACACACAGCACCGCAGACTGCAGAGTAACAGCATGCTCGAAAACACAGTGCACTCCACACACAGTAACTATCACACAAAAATGGACGTTGCCGTGGTGATGTGGGCAGCAAAGCATGTACAGTCATAAAAAAACACAAAAAAGAACCTTGTAGGTGCGGGATGATGAATGGCAGATGCACGGCATTTCAGCTTTCTGAACAAATTATCATTGGGATGCTTTTCATTCAACACTGCTTTTGTGTGAGAGTGTGTGTGAGAGATGGAGAGAGCGAGGTGTTTCACCATTTATCAAAGTGAAAACGAAATCTGTGGCATACTCCAATATCTCAAATGTACTCCCCTCATATGATAGCTGCCATCAACTCTGAGATGGATTGACAAAAACAAACAGACAAACAAAGCAAGAAAATTCTCATGGATGGATGACCTATGACATCAGACAGTCATCAAAGCTTGGGTGGAACGTGGAACATTCCTCCCTCCTAGGTCCTAACCCCCACCCTCTCAGATAGCCTCCCTCCATCCATACTATACTGTACCTGCCAGGGAATCAAAGGGCCTCCCAAACATGGGCAGTTTGTCTACAAAAGCATCATCTTCTGACATCACAACAAGCGATAGCCCAAAAGAAAAAAGGACAAATGCAAATCAAAACAAAGAAAAAACCCTGTTAGAAATAATGGTGATAGAAAAACGGACAGTGTCACAGTAAGGAGGACACGTTGTGAACGGAAACATTATGGGATGGGTGAAAAATGTGAAGAAAAAAAACTCAAATACAAAAATCTCATGGGATGAGAAACACACAAGGCATGATCAGCATTTCAAATGTGGGCTCTCTGCTCCAAGTCTCCTTACGCTGCAAATCATATTCTCTTGTTACTTTCTACTGTCCTCCTCATAAATCTAAAGAAGATATGACGAATGCATTGTGTATCTAACAAAACAGTAAATACCCAGCAAACATTTACCACATCATGCTTCATTTAAGTGATGATTTAAAATGTCACTCTCTGGGATTAATCCCATATGTGTCTTTATGACTAACTGTATTATGTTGTAATATACTGTAGGCTCTTCAGACAATAACCTTTTCCCCTAGCTGAGTGAATGGTTACAGTATATTTAACCATTCCATTACGAATTATTAGGCATGTTGTAGTCTTTAAAATCCTTACCGCATTCACAGATATACAGTGTACATTGAGTGAATACACTGAGTAAATGTAAATACATTACACTGAGTGAACACTGTAACTCAAGCATTCGCTGGAGGAGTGCATCAGGATTTATTGAGAGACAGAGTTGAGAGTCACAGAAAAACAGCAGCTGCCGATGGATGCCGCCATCTCAGCGGCAGCACAGAGATTGACCAAAGCAATCCGTCAACACAGGTAACAGCACAGGTACTGTAACAGTAGCACAGGTACAGTAGCACAGGTAGTGGTGAGAGAGATGACGGGGCACACACACCTGACACAGACACAGTGAGATCTTTACCGACGGTGGGGGTGGTGGCTGCACTCAAGGAGTTGTTGGAGGAGATAGAGGAAGTGCTCTCGGCCCGAGCCAGTGGGGCGATGGGAGGGGGGCTGGACGAATGACTGACCGGGGGGCTAAAGGGCCGGCTCTGCATTGGGACAGAGAGACAGAGGAAAAATATAACAGATGTTTTCATGTTAGAGATCCTATTAGTGATATGATTTAATTATCAGTCATTTAATGTTCAATCGTCCTCACAGTTCAGCATCCATTTTGGGGAGGCTAAACGTGAAACAAACACTTGAAACTAACGGTCAAATATCTACTACAGGTCAATTATGGAAGTACCATAAAGTATAAAAAGGTGTTGTTTACGAGGAGTGTGCTGCTTGAGGAGGTTTGAGGTTTTTATTACTGTATCACGTACCGCATTTTTTTATTTTATATAAGTAGAGTTGTTACTGTGCAAGTAGGTTGTTGTTACTGTGTATAGTAAGTCAAGTGTAAACAAAGATATCATCACGTACCACGTCCCCCATGCTAGGTTTCCCAGGAGGCAGTTTGGGTCGTGAGGAAGGGCGTGGTGGAGGTGGGGGCGGGGTGGGGCTGCTGACAACAGCTGATGAAGCTGACGGTGTAGCAGGTCGAGCCGGAGAGGACGCTCCTGCATGGGGACAAGAGGACACCTGCATTAGGAGAACATTATGACATCACTGTCCAGAGAAATAGAAAATCACGATGTGGGGAGATCCTAGAACATCAAAACAAAACTGACCAGGCAGTCTCTCTAGATACAGGGGTGTCAAACTCATTCCATGGAGGGCCTAGTGTCTGCGGGTTTTAGTTTTTTCCATTCAATTAAGACCTAGACAACCAGGTGAGGGGAGTTCTTTACTAATTAGTGACCTTAATTCATCAATCAAGTACAAGGGAGGAGAGAAAACCCACAGACACTCGGCCCTCCGTGGAATGAGTTTGACACGTGGTCTAGAACATCTAGTTCATTCTGGAATAATGATTGGGTAACCTGGTTTCCTGTTTACGGAACATTATGTTTGATTGAATTTCCATTGAGCTAAATTTAATTGGATAGAATGACAGTGAGAGAACACACACCAGTCCATCATGGCTACCTGTTTTACTATCTATTAGGAAGGTTTTGGGAGTGAGTAGTGCAGGGGTGTCAAACATACGGCCCAGGGGGTCCAATCCGGCCCGCAAGTGGTTTGAGTAAAAAAATAAATATATATATATATATATCTAGATACTTTAAAATGACTCAAACCAAACTGAAACTGTGTAGAAATGATAATGGACCTGTATTCATAAAATGTCTTGACTGTCCAGCTTGCTAATAATCACTAGACAGTAAAGGAGCATCGGAAATTCTAAAAACTATGGATAGGAGGACAATTTTTTGCTAATTTTGATGGCAAGGAATTATAACAAATGATCAGTGAGGCCCTCTGGACCTCGTTTAAGACCAAACGCGCCCCCCAGGGCAACATGTGTTCCACACCCCTGCAGTAGTGGGTAATAAGATTTAAAAACACTCTGAACTCAGTCAGTCACTTTATTGTTTATCTTGAGGGACGATTTTCCCACAGGGGGACAAAATATTCAGAGCCAGAATACCCACTCATCCCGGCATTCCAAAGTGCTGTGTCAGCGGGATCTATCCAAGCTGTGTTTCCAGTCCTGAATCCGGGTGTCCCGTTCCAGTTGTGTTAAGCTAAACTAACTAACGCCCCTCATCCTCATCGTGGTCACGTACACTACGCACATCTCTTTTTAGTCTACAACGGAACAACACTACATAACGACCGCCATAATTGTAAAGCAAGAGTGTGTGTGGTGTGTCACTTTACATAGACGGAAACAGGGAACAATGGCTTCATTGGTTTAGGGATCTTAACCCACTTCTTTCTGATAACACACATCCACACACACAGCCACAATGTGATCAATTCTATTTTGCAAGATGAAATGTAGGTCTGAACAAGAGCAGGGTTTATGTACAGTACCTTCTCAGCTCATATCCTGTATTAATGTAAGGATTGTGATCAGCCCTGATATGGGAATCAGTCAGCATTAATCTAACCATTAAACAGCGTAATGAATATAATGATCCTACTCACAGTTGATTTCAATGAGCCGCTCCAGTCAAACAGCAAGCCAACTAAACCTAATCACTGCCTTAAATAGATGGTCATTATGTTCCTAGTTTTTATTATCCAACCTTTATTTATACAGGTAAGTCAATTAAGAACATACTCTTTTACACTGACAACCTATCAAGTATGTGCTTACACTAGCTGACTGCATGATACATCAGCACAACGCTACGGACTGAGACTGATGCTGACAGTGGTCAGGTGGATTGTGCTGTTATGGATGGGGGGTGTTGTGTAAGATGAGTTAGAACTGCAGGGGTACTCACCACTACTACCCATGCCCCCTGTCGTGGGTCCTGGCGAGGACACCACTGCCCTGTACGTAGGGGGTGGAGGAGGGGGAGGCGCAACACGGGAAACCTGCCCAACATCTTTGGGTGACACGGTGGTGGCGGTTTCACTGAGGTCCTCTTTCGGCGGGGCAGGTGGGACAGACAGAGCAGCTGCTTCAGGACCCTTCCGTTCCTCCAAGGCCAAGACGAGGGGCGGGGGGATGGTGCGTGAGGGTGCTTCCACAGGGGCAGGGGGGATGGTGGGGGAGACAGATGTGCTTGCTTTGGGAGAAGAGGGGACTGCAGAGGAGACAGGGGCAACGCTGGGGGGTGAGGTGACAGGGGGAACAGGGACAATGCTGGAGGTTAAGTCGAGCGTGGGGACAACAGTGGGTGTGGGAGTGGGGGGTGGTGTAGGGTCCTTTGGTGGAAGTGGTGTGGGTGGGGGTGTAGGGTCTTTAGGTGAGGGTGGGACTGTGGGTAGGTGGGGCGCTGGTTCCTCTGTAGGGGGTGGGGAGGTGGGTAAGGGAGAGACAGATTCTTCCTGTGGGGGACGGGAGGTGGGGAGAGGGGAGAGAGAGGGGGCAGGGACAGGGTCATCCAGAGGGAGAGGGGAGGTGGGTACAGGAGGGGCAGGGGGATCTTCTGGAGGGGGTGGGGACGTTGGCAGAGGCGGGGCTGGGTCCTTTGGAGGGGGTGGTGTTTCAGAGGCTGCTGATTCCTCGCTGAAGCAGACCCACTTGTCGGCAGACTCCTCGCCAAAGGCAGGGGGTTCCGCTGGGCCGAAAATGTTGTCCAGGTTTGGGATGGAGGTCTTCCTCCCTGAGCCTTCTGCCTTTATTGACAAACCTGACAGTCACGTGCACGGAGAGAGGAGCAGAGCAGTTAGTATGAGAATGAGTAAGAGAGAGAGAGAGAGAGAGAGTGAGAGACAGCAAATGCAAGAAATAGAAAGTGAGATTGAGAAAAAGGTAGAGGGAAGGAGAGAGGGAAGGGGTCAAGAGGGGTCGAGTGATGAGGGGTCTTACCGGCAGCATCTGCAGAGGGGGAGCCAGTTAGAGGGGGGGAGGTTGAGACATTCTTGGGCGGAAGCAGGGGCGGAGCTGCAATGATATCAGTGCATCCGTGAACAGCCTGTCACTATAAAGGGTGGCGCCATCTAGAGGCACCTGGGGTTAGTGCATGGCTGCGCCACACCAGCTCAGGACAGGACAGGTAGGGAACTACCATACAGCCCCATGCCATACATTACATACACCACCATGCATATGGCCCATAATCCATGGCAGATGCAGGGGGGAAGAGGAGGAAGAGGCAATTGAATCATGATGCTCAACATTAGTATGGATTTAATTATTTCTCTAACTAATGACGGATGAAATGAGCGGGTTAGTACGGGCTGCGGAGGAAGAGGAAGAGTTAATGGAGCACTCGTTCACAGACTCTCTCCCTCTGTTTATCCGTCCAGATCGCTCGTTAGTTTCAGTCATGAGGGTGAGGTGGTTTATGAGGTGTTGATGGTTCCGTGCAGTCATTTCAGAGTCATTCCAGGAAGTGCAAACACAAATGGAAAACTTACTGCCTGTAGGGAAGGGTCTCGTGAAAGAGAAGTCTGGGCTCAGTGACTCAGACTCAGGTAGAGGAGCACCCCACACGTCACACACCACTGTCTCAGATATACCCACTATGTTCAGAACAGACAGGGGACATAACATAGTGGGGGCGTCAGTTTAATAAGCTAAAAAGATATACCTCAGGGTAACTGTATGTTAAAATAGGCATGTTAGCATCTAGAATAAAGACATGAATTGAATCTGAATTCTTGGACCTAGATTACCATTAGCCTAAACCTGTCATGTCTATAACCAACCAATTACTGCGCAAAAAAAGACACCAAGAAGTAAGGAGGTAATATCAGTTCTATTAGCTATAGCTGTGGAGAATATCTCCTACTACTGAAGGCAACATCTTATACAAGCTCATCTGTTATTTATAAATAGAGAATAGCAACCCTATCAGTTTCACAGAATCATGTACTTTATATAACCACACCATTGAGAAAGAGGGATATCAGCAGGGACTAACAGCCTCACAGAGAAACTTCTATCTCTGAATGGTGTGTTAAAAAAGCAAAGGCTGCTGTATCTGTATGTAGTGACATTAGCTATGCTTCGGCAGGTAGTTACATAACAAGCTAAGAGCTTTCCAGTCAGAGCCTGCAGAGCTAAATCCACCAGCATAGAACCCTGACTGAGAGCGGTGAGGGTGGATCCACACGACAACAAACCAACCACGGTGGAATCTAATTTGACTTCATAGTGCCTCTGAGCTCTGATCCCTAGCGTGTTTGTGAGAGTTTTAGTGCCCAAGACATAGTGGCAGTGTGTGCAGCTGACAGGGAGGAGGGATAGTGTCTTTAGAGGTGGCCGAAAGGCAGTGTAGGGAATAGGAAGCATCCATCTTGTTGGTGCTATGCATCTGCAGTGTGTCTTCAGTGTCACAGTGATCCACAACAAGCCATTGTCGTTATACACATCTCGATCACAGCAAAACAAGGTAGAGATGGACACATGCACGCACACACACACACGCTAGCGATTAGCGATTAGCGCTTTTTGAGGTCAGTTCGAGTTTCACAAAACAAAATAACGGTTTTTGATTTCAGGTTCTTTTTTATTATATATATTTTTTACATTAAATAATTACCTTAAAATGATTTTAGAACGTTTTAATTGAAATTCCAAAGCCAAATATTGACAAAAAACATTGAAAACAATCCATTGTCTTATTACTTTATTGGATGACTTTATTTAATTTAATTCCTTAGTCATCATCTCATCTCTGCTCAGGCATTAGCAGCCAGCCAGCCAGACAACCATCTAATGTTGGGCACGTTCTTCTGCCTAGGTGTTGCTGATGCATGCCAGATCTTACAACGCCTGGATAGGTATTTTACATATCAGCTAACCACATCATACAGTATGTTGCAGCAATCTGGTGCCCGACGGAACAGTCGATGACATGTCACGCAACCATTGGTTGATGCATGCAAAGTCTGAGCAGGGAACGCGACCGTAATCTCTGTGCTCCCTAACGAGTCATCCTGTTTAGCTAGACTAGTAGCTAGCTAGATGGCTAGCTAGTAGCTTCTTATGCTGCAGAGCTGTCTGACGAAATTACAATTTTAGTAGATAGGGCATACTTTCAAGACTGCTAATTACCTATCAACTATCTGTGTAGAGCTACCTCACAAACTGTCTCTATCCCTCTCGTCGTTGTGTTGTGTACATTCCTCTCTCATGAGTCTGTCCGGGGTCTGGATAAACAGGAAAGGCAGGGGATTATGGGCATTGTAGGCAATTAGCATGTTTTCTGCGCTGAACTAGGTTGAATATTTTCCTGTTGAAAACTACAAATTCCTGTAACATCTGATCTGATTTCTCTCGTGCTTGCTTTGATTTCATTCTACAGAAACGGTGCGAAAATGTTGGTTAATCGCTCAGCGCTGACACACACACACACACACACCAATCAAACATCAAAGAAAACCCGGTGACAGCCAGATGTGGGACAGAGTTGTACCTTCAGTTTTCTGCTCTCCGAAGGCTGTCTCCAGCGGAGGCCCAAATAAGGCTGTAGCGTCCTCTGGTACTGAGACTGCTTTCTTCTCTAGTACTGGTACTGCTGGGGCTCTCTTACTTCTGGGAGGGAGATAAAATAGGGACAGACAGACAGACAGGGTTAGTAGGCTGTAGCATTCTCTGGTACTGGCTTTCTTACTGCTGAGGGATGGAGATAAGACAGGGATAGACAGGGACAGCAGGATGAGTCAGATGATCAGTCTACCACAGAAACTAAGACAGACTTCAGTCACCTCACTCAGCACACTACAACAGGAGATGCATTCATGTCATAAGGGAAGGAAGGGGCTGTATCAGCCTTCGACTTAACGTTACTAAATCAGTGATTGTTGATTGTCATCAGCGACTGAAAGTCATCAGATGTTAATGTAAAACTATAGATGTACAGACCAGTGCATCACTACAGAGCCACAACACCTGGGGTGAGTCTGTGACAGGTCAGTGGGCAACAGACAGAGACGTACCTGGGGACTTGTAGCACCGGGGCTGCTAATGTGGGGACCTCAATGGGTGCAGGACGTCTTGGCCGAGCTACCTGTATCTCTTCACCTGAGGAGAGATTCATTCACAGTCGTTCACCTCAACTGACTCATCATACACACTAAAACACATTGAAACTAATCAATGACTTGGCTTTTCAACTGAAGCATTTAGCTTTAAACAACAAAACAAGAGGAGACATCTTAGATACTTACTAGAGTCCTTTGTCATCAACCCCTATAATAAAAACACATACATTTGAAAAAAGACAAAAAACATATCACACATTACATTTCACACTCAAATGACTCAAATGGAAATATTAAAGGGTTTTAAAATCCATTAGTCACACCGTGTTAATGTACACATTACATACAGTATTTCCAGGAGGGTGCCTGTCCACTAGCGAAGGTCAGAAAATGGTCTCTATAGCCTTAGAATGAGCTAATCGGATGAGACCATTGGCTAGGCTGATTTAGCAACCGTCGCAACAGGGAAGTAGATGACTAATAATAGGCCTGTTCTCTCTACCTCACACAGAAATACTGTGGAACAATCTAGGAGCTAGTGGCCTTAGGACATAAGAGACGATATTGTGTTGAGATGCACTGTCTGAATTGTGAGTGGATTATAAAACATAATATTTCTGGAAAAGGTATACTTACTGCAGAGTGAAATAAAAATGCAGTTATGTAGATTAATACAAATAATATATACTTTACAATGACCATTAGGATCTATAGACAAGCTAATATACACAGAGTGTACAAATCATTAAGAACACCTGGCTAATATTGAATTGCACCCCCCCACCCCCCCTGCTTTCGTCGAGCATGGACTGTACAGGGTGTCGAAAGCATTCCACAGGGATGCTGGCCCATGTTGACTCCAATGCTTCCCACAGTTGTGTCATGTTGGCTGGATGTCCTTTGGGTGGTGGACCATTCTTGATACACGCGAGAAACTGTTGAGCGTGAAAAACCCAGCAGCATTGCAGTTCATGACACAAACCGGTGCGCCTGGCACCTACTGTACTACCATAGCCCGTTCAAACACACTTCTAATCTTTTGTCTTGCCAATTCACCCTCTGAATGGCACACATACACAATCCATGTCTCAGTTATCTTAAGTCTTAAAAATCCTTCTTTACCCATTCTCCTCCCTTCATCTACACTGACTGAAGTGGATTTAATCAATAAGGGATCATAGCTTTCACCTGGATTCACCTGGCCTTGCAAAAGTATTCATTCCCCTTGGCGTTGTTCCTATTTTGTTGCATTACAACCTGTAATTTAAATTGATTTTTATTTGGATTTCATGTAATTGGAGAAGTGAAATGAAAAAAAGATTGCTGTACACCAACGGAACCCATCCAACTTGAAGGAGCTGGAGCAGTTTTGCCTTGAAGAATGGTCAAAAATTCAAGTGGCTAGATGTGCCAAGCTTATAGAGACATACCCCAAGAGACTTGCAGCTGTAATTGCTGCAAAAGGTGGCTCTACAAAGTATTGACTTTGGGGGGGGTGAATAGTTATGCACGCTCAAGTTTTCTGTTTTTTTGTCTTATTTCTTGTTTGTTTCACAAAAAATATTTTGCATCTTCAAAGTGGTAGGCATGTTGTGTAAATCAAATGATACAAACCCCCCAAAAATCAATTTTAATTCCAGGTTGTAAGGCAATAAAATAGGAAAAATGCCAAGGGGGGTGAATACTTTCACAAGCCACTGTATGTCATGGAAAGAGCAGGTGTTCATAATGTTCTGTGCACTCAGTGTATAGTGTGAGGTCAGTGGGCACAGAAAGCTGTCAGAGACAGATCGAAAGAGTAGGTATTTAAAGCCTCATGTAAGCCCAAGACATTATACACCCTACACAAAATTGAGAGGGACAGATATAGAATAGAGATGAGACCATATAATGAGAGAGAGAGATACAGAAACATGGAGAGAGAGACAGAGAGAAACCCAGAGGTAAAGAGAGAGATAGAGAGAAAAGGAGAGAAAGAGAGAGCAGGGAGAGAGAAAGAAAGAGAGAGACCAAGACAAAGAGTGCTGCTTTTTAGTGAGAATACAGTGCATGAAATAACTCTCAATGAGGCACGATAAGAAGGAAAATAGAGGGAGAAGGAAGGAGGGACAGTGCGAGATGGAAGGAGAGAGAGAGAGAGAGGGAGAGAGCAGCAGAGGATTCACCAGAAGGTGGGGCTGAAATGAGAGATCAAAGGGTCCAGCTGTCGACAGATGGGGTGAATCTCAAACGTCCTTTCTCAATTTCTTGCGTCGTCTCTTCCCTTCTTCTACCCACCTCCTTAATATATCAGAAGGAAGCAAGAAGGAGGCGAAGACAGAGGATACGAGGAATCAAGGAAAGACTATTCAGATTCCCCCAGGGACTTAAACGCCTAGTACAACAGGGAGCCATATTTTCCTGATCTGTTTCAACTGTTAACTCCACCTCAACCCTCTCCCCTCCACTCCTCCAGCAGGCTACAGGAAGCAGAGGGAGAAAAAAGCGTTTGTAATTCACCCCAGGCCCCAGGGACAGACACGGAATGGAGGGACACTTACCGGGCTACGTCTCTATGACCAGCAAAAAGGAAGAGAGAAGAGATACCTGGTCAGAGAGTGATGAATCAGTAAAGCACACTTCTCCAACATAATACAGTTACATTCACAACACAACCAGAGTCATCCCCATTAATGGCTGTAATGGAAATTCAGTTTAGTCATCCCGCACCAGAGAGATAGAGTGGGGTAAAGAAAGGTACAGTACAGTAGTATACTGTCATAGTGATGTCACTACGAGAGAACAATGAGCCAGATACTTCACAGGATGTATAAATCTGAAGCATCCATTTAGAACTTCTTCTCACCACCAAATATGGTGATGAGAGGAAGTCCAGTGGCAGGAAGTGGGAGAAGTTAGAGCTAGATTAAACTTGGCCAACATTCTGCACATTTTCTCAGCGATGGAACACTCGATCTCAATACCGTTTTCTGCTCCCAAAACTATAATCTGTTACGAACACTAAGTTTTGTAGACTTAAACCTTTCTAAAAGTTTTAAAAAATTATATTGTTTAGAAGGAGTGCAATGGTGAACTGAGTTATTGTACACGCGCACTTCACAGAGTAGTTGTTCCTTAACAGAAATATGCAAATACATGCTAGAACACGGCAATAGGATCTCGCTAGCTCGTGCTTGGCTCTACCCACATCCTTGGTTGTTCTGCCCACTACGCTTAATTTGCTCCGGTTGGAAACGACACCATGTGGTCTATCTTGAGTTAATTATAAAAATGTTGGTATAGCGGCTCCGGCACTCAGCTACTTCCTGGTGGACGGGGCATTGAGGCAGCAAAATTGTGTGATTGGAGCAATGACAGGTCAAGCGGAGCACTGCAACATTTCTATAGGCCTGTGGTGGCATTATTAGCCGTGCCAGTAAGAATGTTCAAATATTCAGTGATTTCTGACTGGTGACTGAAGAATGGCAGTAGGCTTTTAAGAGTATTAAGAGTGCATGATCCACACCCTTAATGTGCTTTAAAATAGATCAACCACATTGTCTCACATCTGGTCTGTCTGATAACTCGCAAACACATGGGATAGCTAAAAAGAAGTTTGGCTACTATATGCTGTCCTAACATTCGAAAAGGTTACCAAGGTGACATTGTCAACTGAACCCCCTTTAAATCCTCAAAAGTGTCAGAGTTTATCTTACCAAAAACTATAAACCTGTAGCTAATATTGGGTATTCTTCACTAGCTAAGGTGTTTTGTGGTGGTAGAATCGGTATTTATGAAATTTGAAATGTGCACGAAAATTAGCTAGCTAGCACATTAGCTAGCTAGTGTCTGCTTGCTGGCTGAATCAGTTTCAAATCAATCCATATGAAACTAAAGGCAGGGATGCAAACAACATAATTTAACACACTCAACACTGAATATTCCCGCTAGCTAGCGCAGTGAAGTTCTAGCTAATGCACAAATTAGTCTTCATGACATCTGTTCTGGCGTGATTAGTGCGCAGAGTTCTACAGCACAGCTGACTGCTCTGTGTGGCGTTATCGCGTTTGCAAAATGTTTCAAAGTAGCGAGGCACAGTGCCAGCTGTGAACAGTTCCATAACTTTGGTGCTATACAATTCATCTGGCAAACTATCTACCGTATGGCCACTCAAACAAGCTTGCACTAGACTGCTAGCGGGAGTAAGTTTGCTCTGCTGATCGAGCATGGTTTGCGGTAGTAGCCAGTGTGTCATAGCTACCGAGAGCGGAGTGATTTTCAGAATTAGGGATGAGTTCCACAGATCGGTTGAGGGACGAGCTTCGCATAGAAGTGATGCCATCTGACGTGAGACCAAATGGGCTGGCGACTGACTGATCTAAAAATCACCTTGCATCAAAAATAACTATTCATTATTATTTGTAGATCAGTCAGTCAGTCACAATTTACCCATTTGATGCTTTTGAACATGTATATTGAGATCAAACATGCATCATGGAGTAGAAAGCAGAGAGCTGAGAAGGGCTTAAGAGGAGCACGGATGACTCATTCACACGCGCGAGTGAGTGAGCGCGATGATTCATCCGTGGGTGTGTGATCATGCATGGGTGTGTATGTCAATATGTTGAGAGAGAAATCACAGTCATCCACAGCCCATAATGACTGATCCAATTGGCCCTGTCCTCTCTACTCTTCTGTGGACCTGCTGTGGCTTCATTCAGCTGTATCCTTTTCCCCTCTCCTCATCTCCCTCTGCATTCTTTTCTGCCCTTCCCCACCTCCATTTCCTTTGTAATTCTTCCCATCATTCTGCTCCTGTGGAATGCAACTGACTGACTGCTACAGCCTCAATTAAATCAGATTCAGGGGACCTTACTCAGAGGAAATAAAATAAAAGCATATACTCATATACACACACGAGCACACATAATCTGCTGAGCTGTTGTGCATGGATATTATGAGAGAAAGCAGCCAGATTTCCATCTTAGCGAATGTCACTATAAAGCAGCTGTCTTCGTGCTGGTACTGTGGTAGTCTCACCATTGGTTCTCATTCAGAGCAACCTGTTCTCCACAAATCCTGGTTCACCGGTACACCTGAGTGTGTTGTATTGCTATTGCATATTTCTCTCACTCTATTACAAAGGACCCAATGGACACCCACCAGACATTCAATATGGTCCTTAGAGAGAAAAGTCAGTATGCTGAATCACAAACAGAAAGGGAGAAAACTGACATGCAAGTGTGCAATTCATGCTAACAGAGAGACAGAGAGACAGAGAACGACATGCCAAGAAGAGGCTTACCGGACTACTCCTCTACAGAAGTTAGCATCATAAGAGAGAGGAAGATAAATATAGAAAAAGAGGGAGGTAGAGGGGAAGAAAGGTAGAGACGGACAGAGGGAGGGGGCAGAACAGAGAGACAGAGGGAGGGGGCAGAACATAGAGACAGAGGGAGGGGGCAGAACAGAGAGACAGAGGGAGGGGGCAGAACAGAGAGACAGCGGAGGGGGCAAAACATAGAGACAGAGGGAGGGGGCAGAACAGAGAGACAGAGGAGGGGGCAGAACAGAGAGACAGAGGGAGGGGGCAGAACAGAGAGACAGAGGGAGGGGGCAGAACAGAGGGACAGAGGGAGGGGGCAGAACAGAGAGACAGAGGGAGGGGGCAGAACAGAGAGACAGAGGAGGGGGCAGAACAGAGAGACAGAGGAGGGGAGAAAGGGGGTAGAGGGGATACCATGTTAGGGTAGATAATCCACAATTACTGTATACACAAAGCTATGATAGCAGGAATTATGGAGGTGAATGTAGACTGACCAAACAAACACACATCATGTCAATAGTTTTCTACTCTCATTTACGTAAGATCCACGGAGAGAGCATAAGTATCCACTATCTACCAATCTGTCTATCCATTTCACTTTCCACACCCATTCATTCATCCATCTACAGTATATTGATAAGCGACTTTGATCTGATGAGTGACTGGATGTTTAATCAATAGTGATAGTTGTTGAGTACAAGGGAAACTCTAGTGATACATCTATTGCACTGTGGACAGAAATGCCCATGGGAGGTTAATCTGCTCTCACACATACTGTCTTCCTCTGTCTCTCTTTCTGTATTCTCAACAGCCATCACGCTCAAAGAACAACACATTTAACTTTAATACAGAGAGATCGAGGTCAAGGGAGAGAAAGAGGAAGGGAGAACGACAGGCGAAGGGAGAAGGAGAGAAAGAGAATGCAGGAGAGATAGAATGAGGGAGCAAGAGAAAGCCAGGGAAAGAAATGTGGGTAGAACCTCGTTGTTCGATTTAGCCTGTTAACCTTTGCTCCCTATCCCAGCTCTCCTTAGCCAATGTCCTGGTAACCGTTGCCAGGGCTACCTGGGTAAGCACACAGTTGCAATGGAGAGCGACTCATGTTTAATTCATGACTGAGGTAAAAGGCAGAAGTTCCAGCACTCTGGACAGACTGGAGAGGTTTTACTAAACGGAGGAGATGCTAATTGGAATAGACATAATCTGGAGAGTATAGGACAGAGCTGGCACTGCTTTCTATTCAGACGTGGGCGTTAGAACCGTTGCTTGGGAATACATCTCTATATTAAAGGACTTGAAAGACCTGGGGTTAAATCCTTCTACATTGAAGGTCTCTCCTAGACCTGGTCAATCACTGTACATTCATTTGGGATTTAATCACATGGTTGTTATAATCTCAAACCCCATGGCACGTAGTCTCCAACCCTTTCTGTCCCCTAACCTAGTACACTGATAGACCTTTCTGGAACAAGGTTTTGACAATGGGTTTTAGGTGATTACTTGACCTACAGTAAGGAGGACATAATACAATTCTCTATGACTGACTGGCCACCCTCAGAACCACACAGCTAATGTCTGCTATTCCCTGATCTATATTGTACAATTCCTCTACACACAGAGAGAGCCAGGTACACCTTAAAACAACCAAACACCTGCTCACTGCTCAAGGTTAGTGAGCTAACGGCTAGCTGGCGGCTCTACAGCCAGTGGATGGATTAATTATTGAGTCTGTAAGGTTCTCGTATGACCAGAGACTGTCCTCACGTACGTACAGCATACATCAGTGCCTCACTGTGAATACCCACTTTCCAGGCTGAATTATTTACACCAGGTATGACACTAGAGGAGGGTTGACGGGTGTGGAGGAGGTTGGAGGGGTGGGGCCCCATCCCAAAGAGAAACTCCTTCAACACCTCTCCCTCCCCCTCCCCTCTCATTTGGATCACTCTGCTAATTTGAGGTTTTAAGTGATGTTTTTAATTTGAGTAGGTTTGAATCTCATGGTTTCTCATGAAGTTGTTGTCATTGTGGTGTGGGAACTCTCTCTCCAGTTTAAAGTGTATGATGAGACTCAATAACACAGTGTCCGTTGGTTTCTGTGGGCTGCTTAGAGACATCTGCCTTGGGTTAAACTCCACTCCAGTAATTGGTAGTCCACTGAGGTCACAGCAGAATGCTAAAGACCTGCCAGCCACCATTTCTCTCCCCAACATCCCTAGCATCAGCAATGTATTATGTAGTAGAGGGTAAGCAAACCCCAGCGCCTCCCTAGCTCACTGTCACTACAGGAATATGGATGAATAAGCCTCTGAGAAACTATCATTCACTCACAGACAGGCATATAAGTGTGTAATGAGGAGAAAACGCATGCAGTGCGACAGAGAAACACACAAAGAGTAAGAAATGTGTTGTGAACTGTGGAAAGAATTTCCTAATGAGGAACAGAACAGCAAACAGATACAACAATTCAAACACATTCTAGAATACAGTATACAGTAACAGGAAGAGGAAATGACACCATGGCTCCAGTGAGGGCAAGGCAGTGATGGCAGACGGAGGGAGGGACTCACCAGAGGAGAAGGAGACAGAGCTATGTTGCCAATGGAAGCTTTGAGTTCATCTACTGAGGGGGCCAAACAGTTGGCACTTTCCGCTGGTAACGGTTTGATCTTGATCTTAAACTTTTTCCGGTGGTCCTCCTCTCCCTCCGACTCGCTGGAGGAGAAGAAGTGTTCCTTGGGTGGTTTGGGGCCAGGTGGGTTGCCGTTAAAGACCGTAATGGTTTAACTGCTGAAGGTCATAGGTCACTTACATTGTATTTCTAGGAGTAAGGTGACGTTGCCCCTACTGAGCTTGGGCCAGTTTTGCATTTTCCCCACTAACGGTTAAGGTTAGGATTGGGGGAGGGGAAGCTGATCCTAGATCTGTACTAGGGGAAACTCTGTACTCCGGATCGTTTCTATATCTACAACTCAACCAAATACTAGATGCTACAGCATACAACAGCTTCTAATCAGGAGACCGTAGAATCTCCTCACAGAACAGCATGTTCCGAAAAGCCTGCCGAATCTCCCAGCAATATCAGTCTAATCAATATATAGTTGTTCCAGGCCGTATGCTGTTAGCTATTATTGAGTTGACGTGATACTCAGTTATTTCCCGGCTGTCTGTTTGTTATTGAGTTGAGATGAGATGATGCTCAACGGTCTCCCTGTTGATTTGTACTGATAAGCTGTTCTGTGGTGGGCTGAATACAAAATGTTTCTGATCTATATAGACAGTCGTTCACTAAGTCAGTCATTGAGTCAGTCAGTCAAACAGTCAGTCAGTCAGATACAGACTCTATATACAGTGGGGGAAAAAAGTATTTAGTCAGCCACCAATTGTGCAAGTTCTCCCACTTAAAAAGATGAGAGAGGCCTGTAATTTTCATCATAGGTACACGTCAACTATGACAGACAAATTGAGGAAAAAAAATCCAGAAAATCACATAGTAGGATTTTTAATGAATTTATTTGCAAATTATGGTGGAAAATAAGTATTTGGTCACCTACAAACAAGCAAGATTACTGGCTCTCACAGACCTGTAACTTCTTCTTTAAGAGGCTCCTCTGTCCTCCACTCGTTACCTGTATTAATGGCACATGTTTGAACTTGTTATCAGTATAAAAGACACCTGTCCACAACCTCAAACAGTCACACTCCAAACTCCACTATGGCCAAGACCAAAGAGCTGTCAAAGGACACCAGAAACAAAATTGTAGACCTGCACCAGGCTGGGAAGACTGAATCTGCAATAGGTAAGCAGCCTGGTTTGAAGAAATCAACTGTGGGAGCAATTATTAGGAAATGGAAGACATACAAGACCACTGATAATCTCCTTCGATCTGGGGCTCCACACAAGATCTCACCCTGTGGGGTCAAAATGATCACAAGAACGGTGAGCAAAAATCCCAGAACCACACAGGGGGACCTAGTGAATGACCTGCATAGAGCTGGGACCAAAGAAACAAAGCCTACCATCAGTAACACACTACGCCGCCAGGGACTCAAATCCTGCAGTGCCAGACATGTCCCCCTGCTTAAGCCAGTACATGTCCAGGCCCGTCTGAAGTTTGCTAGAGTGCATTTGGATGATCCAGAAGAGGATTGGGAGAATGTCATATGGTCAGATGAAACCAAAATAGAACTTTTTGGTAAAAACTCAACTCGTCGTGTTTGGAGGACAAAGAATGCTGAGTTGCATCCAAAGAACACCATACCTACTGTGAAGCATGGGGGTGGAAACATCATGCTTTGGGGCTGTTTTTCTGCAAAGGGACCAGGACGACTGATCCGTGTAAAGGAAAGAATTAATGGGGCCATGTATCGTGAGATTTTGAGTGAAAACCTCCTTCCATCAGCAAGGGCATTGAAGATGAAACGTGGCTGGGTCTTTCAGCATGACAATGATCCCAAACACACCGCCCGGGCAACGAAGGAGTGGCTTCGTAAGAAGCATTTCAAGGTCCTGGAGTGGCCTAGCCAGTCTCCAGATCTCAACCCCATAGAAAATCTTTGGAGGGAGTTGAAAGTCCGTGTTGCCCAGCGACAGCCCCCAAACATCACTGCTCTAGAGGAGATCTGCATGGAGGAATGGGCCACAATACCAGCAACAGTGTGTGAAAACCTTGTGAAGACTTACAGAAAACGTTTGACCTGTGTCATTGCCAACAAAGGGTATATAACAAAGTATTGAGAAACTTTTGTAATTGACCAAATACTTATATTCCACCATAATTTGCAAATAAATTCATAAAAAATCCTACAATGTGATTTTCTGGAAAAAAAATTCTCATTTTGTCTGTCATAGTTGACGTGTACCTATGATGAAAATTACAGGCCTCATCTTTTTAAGTGGGAGAACTTGCACAATTGGTGGCTGACTAAATACTTTTTTTCCCCACTGTACAAAGAGCGATGTGCTCATATTGTGACATACAAACTATATGTAATCTGTGATTTGGTATAACTATAGTGCTGCTATAGGTGTAGTATTAGGTGTAGGTGTATTATATCGTGTGAAATAGTTAATATCTATCTCCATTAGGGTGTAGCTAGATGATAAAGGATATCTGATCCTGGCCCCTCCTCCTCGTCTGGCCTGAGACTGTAACCTTCATCGTCCACCGTAGGGGTGTTCTGAAACACACGAGCAACAGACACACCAACATCACACGCTGTATTTACAACATGCTATCAGGGTTGGGCTCAATTCCATTTAAATTCTGTCAATTCAGTTTACTTCCTGAATTGTTTGAATTGAATTGGAATTGACCTCAACCGACTGATGCTACATTAACATACCCTCAGAATCTTTAGAAACGACAGTAGGACAGTAACTGAAGGGTCAGAATAATATCTACTGTCCATGACATATAGATCTTTGAGAGCATGCCAGTAACATAATCATAGATTTGTTTTTTATATGAGCTTGTTCAAAGGAAAAAAGCTGGTTCCATACATATCTGTCCCAGTCGATCTCTCCAGAGAATCCATTGACAGCCGCCCCATTGGCCTTCTTCTGTGACTGAAAACAGAATGACACGATCACAATCAATTCCACCAATCACGATCCTGATTACTCAATTCATGCACTACTACGCTGTGATTGGCTACTCAATGTTACTTATACAGGAACTATGAACCCAAGTAGTAACTATGCACCTAAGGAGTACCTAAGGTCTAGTAGAGCCTAGTAGAGTAGAGGCTATAGTAACTATCTACCCTACACTAGAAGGGACTCCAATAGTGTTCAATACCGATTCAATCTCTTGGGGACCCTGGATGACAGTCGAGTCCACAATACAGAGAATACAAATACAATACAAATCAAATCATGTAAGGAAATTCAATACCTCACAAAACAGTTAAGTTCAACAATACAATACACTCATTTCATTTGATTCTAGAGTCTATGAAAAAGGGGCACCAATGTTACAGTGCTGATTCACCGAAAGGACTGAGCCAGTCTTAAAACGACAGTATTAAACTGAGTTTGTGAAATAGGCAATCATGTCTTCCCCTTCCAGCAATGACATTATTAAGCATCTTTATTGACAACACAATTCAATAAATGTGAACTATTTCACAGCTGAACAAGTTGACCGATTAATCCTTTGGATAAAACATGAATAATTTTGTGATACTTACACCACCTTCTCTGTCAGGGGACCCCCTGTGAAAGAAAGACAGAGAAAGAGAAAAAGGGAGGGAGCAAAGAGAAAGTAAGGATCTTGAAATCCACATTCCATATTTTCTCCTAACACTGAAGTGCACTGCCAATTAGCAAAGCAGCTCACTGGAAAATCCCAATCTATAGGGGCATTCTAACACCCTTTGCATACATAAATATATATGAATTTTGTTTTTATTTCATACCACATTCTTGCCGGGATAAGACATTTCAAAAGAATTGAATGGCATATTTTAATTATGTTACTGGTCTGTGCAGCCCATATGCTACATGGCTGCGCCATGCACATGAAATCAATAGTTATTTTGTTAATTAAACAGACAATACACACTTAAACTACCCTAATCTCAGTCAACACACATATATTTTATAGTAGGCTAAGAATAAAATGAAATATGACAGAATAAAATACAAATTATATTTTTCCCACACAACTTGCGTCATGGCAACGTGTGGAACCTCTGTCATATAAAAAAAGTTACACTATATATACAAAAGTATGTGGACACCCCTTCAAATTAGTGGATTCGGTTATTTCAGCCACACCCGTTGCTGACAGGTGTATAAAATTGAGCACACAGCCATGCAATCTCTATAGACAAACATGCCACCTTTCCAACAAGTTAGTTCGTCAAATTTCTGCCCTGCTAGAGCTTCCCTGGTCAACTGTAAGTGCTGTTATTGTGAAGTGGAAATGTCTAGGAGTAACAACAGCTCAGCCGCGAAGTGGTAGGCCACACAAGCTCACAGAACGGTACCGCCGAGTGCTAAACCGCGTAGCTCATAAAAATCGTCTGTCCTCGGTTGCAACACTCGAGTTCCAAACTGCCTCTGGAAGCAACGTCAGCACAAGAACTGTTCGTCGGGAGCTTCATGAAATGGGTTTCCATGGCCGAGCCATGCGCAATGCCAAGCGTTAGCTGGAGTGGTGTAAAGCTCGCCGCCATTGGACTCTGGAGCAGTGGAAACGTGTTCTCTGGAGTGATGAATCACGCTTCACCATCTGGCAGTCCGACGGACGAATCTGGGTTTGGCGGATGCCAGGAGTCCCCTGTAGCTCAGTTGGTAGAGCATGGCGCTTGCAACGCCAGGGTTGTGGGTTCGTTTCCCACGGGGGGCCAGTATGAAAATGTATGCACTCACTAACTGTAAGTCGCTCTGGATAAGAGCGTCTGCTAAATGACTAAAACGTCAAATGTAAAATGTAATGCATAGTGCCAACTGTAAAGTTTGGTGGAGGAGGAATAATGGTCTGGGGATGTTTTTCATGGTTCGGGCTAGGCCTCTTAGTTCCAGTGAAGGGAAATCTTAACGCTACAGCATACAATGACATTCTAGATGATTCTGTGCTTCCAACAGCTGGGGGAAGGCCCTTTCCTGTTTTAGCATGACAATGCCCCCGTGCACAAAGCGAGGTCCATACAGAAATGGTTTGTCGAGATCGGTGTGGAAGAACTTGACTGGCCTGCACAGAGGCCTGATCTCAACCCCATTCGAACACCGTTGGGATGAATTGGAAAGCCGACTGCGAGCAAGGCCTAATCGCCCAACATCAGTTCCCAACCTCACTAATGCTCTTGTGGCTGAAAGGAAGCAAGTCCCCGCAGCAATGTTCCGAAGGTGTGGAAAGCCTTCTCAGAAGAGTGGAGGCTGTTATAGCAGCAAAAGGGGGATCAACTCCACATTAATGCCCATGATTTTGGAATGAGATGTTCGACAAGCAAGTGTCCACATACTTTTGGTCATGTACTGTACAGTACATTCGGAAAGTAATCAGACCCCTTCACTTTTTCCACATTTGTGACTCGTTTTATGAACTAGGCATATATTGCACGTCACTACTTCACAGGAGTGCCATTTGAACGTAAACTTTTTAAAAAAATCAAAATGCGTTTTTTGGCAGAAATGCCTTCTGGAACATGTGAACTTTCATGTGCCTTAATAACAAACTTGTGTGCCATCTGTAAATACGAATACAAGCCTAAATTACAAGCCTAGTTGGTTTAGCCACGGAAAAAGACAGAAACCTTCCCACTATCCATGATTGGCTGAGATAATGAGTGGGATGAGGGGGTATACAGAAGATAGCCCAATTTGGTGAAAGACCAAGTCCGTATTATGGCAAGAAAAGCTCAAATAACCAAAGAGGACGGTGAGGACCGTCACAGGAATGGAAGACCCAGAGTTACCTCTGCTGCAGAGGATAAGTTCATTCGAGTTACCAGCCTCAGAAATTGCAACCCAAATAAATGCTTCACAGAGTTCAAGTAACAGACACATCTCAACATCAACTGTTCAGAGGGGACTGTGTGAATCAGGCCTTCATGTTCGAACTGCTAAAGGCCACCAATAAGAAGAAGAGACCTGCTAGGGCCAAGAAACACAAGAAATTGACATTAGACCGGTGGAAATGTGTCCTTTGGTCTGGAGTCCAAATGTGAGATTTTTGGTTCTAACCGCAGTGTATTTGTAAGACGCGGTGTGGGTGACCGGATGATTTCCGCATGTGTACTTCCCACCGTAAAGCATGGAGGAGGAGGTATTGTGGTGTGGGGGTGCTTTGCTGGTGACACTGTCAGTGATATATTAAAAATTCTAGGCACACTTAACCAGCATGGCTACCACAGCATTCTGCAGCGATACGCCATCCCATCTGGTTTGGGCTTAGTGGGACTATCATTTGTTTTTCAACAGGACAATGGCCCAACACACCTCCAGGCTGCGTAAGGGCTATTTTACCAAGAAGGAGAGTGATGGGGCGCTGCATCAGATGACCTGGCCTCCACAATCCCCGGACCTCAACCCAATTGAGATGATTTGGGATGAGTCGGACGGCAGAGTGAAGGAAAAGCAGCCAACAAGTGCTCAGCATACAGTTGAAGTCGGAAGTTTACATACACGTTATACAAAAATAAATTTTAACTACATTTTCACAATTCCTGACATTTAATCCTAGTACAAATTCCCTGTCTTAGGTCAGTTAGGATCACTACTTTATTTTAAGAATGTGAAATGTCAGAATAATAGTAGAGAGAATGATTTATTTCAGCTTTTATTTATTTCATCACATTTCCAGTGGGTCAGAAGTTTACATACACTCAATTAGTATTTGGTAGCATTGCCTTTAAATTGTTTAACTTGGGTCAAATGTTTCGGGTAGCCTTCCACAAGCTTCCCACAATAAGTTGGGTGAATTTTGGCCCATTCCTCCTGACAGAGCTGGTGTAACTGAGTCAGGTTTGTAGGCCTCCTTGCTCACACATGCTTTTTCAGTTCTTCCCACACATTTTCTATAGGATTGAGGTCTGGGCTTTGTGATGGCCACTCCAATACCTTGACATTGTTGTCTTTAAGCCATTTTGCCACAACTTTGGAAGTATGCTTGGGGTTATTGTCCATTTGGAAGACCCATTTGCAACCAAGCTTTAACTTCCTGACTGATGTTTTGAGATGTTGCTTCAATATAGCCACATAATCTTCCTTCCTCATGATGCCATCTATTTTGTGAAGTGCACCAGACACCCACAGCCTGATGCTGCCACCCCCGTCCTTCACGGTTGTGATGTTGTTCTTCAGCTTGTAAGCCACCCCCCTTTGCCTCCAAACATAGCGTTGGTCATTATGGCAAACAGTTCTATTTTTGTTTCATCAGACCAGAGGACATTTCTCCAAAACGTACTGAATACATATCCCAAAGGAAATAAATTATCTCACTTCAATACATTTTAATAGAAAGTTAGCAAAAATACATAAGATCTTGCTACCATGGAAAGGTAAATACCTGTCAATTTGTGGAAAAATCACCCTGATGAACTCATTAGTATTATCCCAGTTTACCTATTTGCTTATGGTCTTGCCTACGCCTAGTGAACAGTTTTTTAAATTATATGAGAAAAAAATATTCAATTTTATTTGGAACGGCAAGCCAGACAAAATTAAACGGGCCTATTTACAGTGGGGCAAAAGTATTTAGCCAGCCACCAATTGTGCAAGTTCTCCCACTTAAAAAGATGAGAGAGGCCTGTAATTTTCATCATAGGTACACGTCAACTAGACAAAATGAGAAAATAAATTCCAGAAAATCACATTGTAGGATTTTTAATGAATTTATTTGCAAATTATGGTGGAAAATAAGTATTTGGTCAATAACAAAAGTTTCTCAATACTTTGTTATATACCCTTTGTTGGCAATGACACAGGTCAAACGTTTTCTGTAAGTCTTCACAAGGTTTTCACACACTGTTGCTGGTATTTTGGCCCATTCCTCCATGCAGATCTCCTCTAGAGCAGTGATGTTTTGGGGCTGTCGCTGGGCAACACGGACTTTCAACTCCCTCCAAAGATTTTCTATGGGGTTGAGATCTGGAGACTGGCTAGGCCACTCCAGGACCTTGAAATGCTTTTTACGAAGCCACTCCTACATTGCCCGGGCGGTGTGTTTGGGATCATTGTCATGCTGAAAGACCCAGCCACGTTTCGTCTTCAATGCCCTTGCTGATGGAAGGAGGTTTTCACTCAAAATCTCACGATACATGGCCCCATTCATTCTTTCCTTTACACGGATCAGTCGTCCTGGTCCCTTTGCATAAAAACAGCCCCAAAGCATGATGTTTCCACCCGCATGCTTCACAGTAGGTATGGTGTTCTTTGGATGCAACTCAGCATTCTTTGTCCTCCAAACACGACGAGTTGAGTTTTTACCAAAAAGTTATATTTTGGTTTCATCTGACCATATGACATTCTCCCAATCCTCTTCTGGATCATCCAAATGCACTCTAGCAAACTTCAGACGGGCCTGGACATGTACTGGCTTAAGCAGGGGGACACGTCTTGCACTGCAGGATTTGAGTCCCTGGCGGCGTAGTGTGTTACTGATGGTAGGCTTTGTTACTTTGGTCCCAGCTCTCTGCAGGTCATTCACTAGGTCCCCGCATGTGGTTCTGGGATTTTTGCTCACCGTTCTTGTGATCATTTTGACCCCACGGGGTGAGATCTTGCGTGGAGCCCCAGATCGAGGGAGATTATCAGTGGTCTTGTATGTCTTCCATTTCCTAATAATTGCTCCCACAGTTGATTTCTTCAAACCAAGCTGCTTACCTATTGCAGATTCAGTCTTCCCAGCCTGGTGCAGGTCTACAATTTTGTTTCTGGTGTCCTTTGACAGCTCTTTGGTCTTGGCCATAGTGGAGTTTGGAGTGTGACTGTTTGAGGTTGTGGACAGGTGTCTTTTATACTGATAACAAGTTCAAACAGGTGCCATTAATACAGGTAACGAGTGGAGGACAGAGGAGCCTCTTAAAGAAGATGTTACAGGTCTGTGAGAGCCAGAAATCTTGCTTGTTTGTAGGTGACCAAATACTTATTTTCCACCATAATTTGCAAATAAATTCATAAAAAATCCTACAATGTGATTTTCTGGATTTTTTTCCCTCAATTTGTCTGTCATAGTTGACGTGTACCTATGATGAAAATTACAGGCCTCTCTCATCTTTTTAAGTGGAAGAACTTGCATAATTGGTGGCTGACTAAATACTTTTTTCCCCCACTGTATATAATGAATATGAATTCGGAGGACAGAAATTATTAAATATTAAAGCATTAGACCTATCACTAAAAGCTTCAGTCATACAAAAGTTATACTTAAATCCGAACTGGTTCTCTAGCAAATTAGAAAGATTGTTTCACCCAATGTTCAAGAATGGCCTTTTTCACTTTATCCAGATTACAACCACTCACTTTCAGTTATTGGAAAAGGAAATCATCTCCCTAATATCACTATTTCTAAAACAAGCCATAGAAAGTTGGTTGCAATTTCAATTGAATCCTCCAGAAACGACAGAACAAATAATGCAAAAAATATTTTGGTTAAACTCAAATATACTAATTGACAAAAACACTTTTTTTTTTGACACAATGTTTAAAAAAGGTATAATCTTCGTAAATGATATCATCGGTAGGACTGGTGGAGTTATGTCGCACATGCAGCTAACAAAAACATATGGAAATGTCTGCTCTACCCAAAATGTCAACCAAATAACTGCAGCCTTACCGCAAAAATGGAAGAGGAAAGTGGAAGGGGGAGAAAGTAAGGAACTTGTCTGTCGGCCTTGCATTAAAGAACATAATTGGTTAAGGAAAACTGTGATAAATAAAAAAGTATATCAGTTTCATTTCAGGACCAAAGGATTGACAGCCGTCCCATATACAGTGGGGAGAACAAGTATTTGATACACTGCCAATTTTGCAGGTTTTCCTACTTACAAAGCATGTAGAGGTCTGTAATGTTTATCATATGTACACTTCAACTGTGAGAGACTGAATCTAAAACAAAAATCCAGAAAATCACATTGTATTATTTTTAAGTAATTAATTTGCATTTTATTGCATGACATAAGTATTTGATCACCTACCAACCAGTAAGAATTCCGGCTCTCACAGTTACTCATTACCTGTATTAACTGCACCTGTTTGAACTCGTTACCTGTATAAAAGACACCTGTCCACACACTCAATCAAACAGACTCCAACCTCTCCACAATGGCCAAGACCAGAGAGCTGTGTAAGGACAGGGATAAAATTGTAGACCTGCACAAGGCTGGGATGGGCTACAGGACAATAGGCAAGCAGCTTGGTGAGAAGGCAACAACTGTTGGCACAATTATTAGAATTTTATTAGAAAGTTCAAGATATCGGTCAATCACCCTCGGTCTGGGGCTCCATGCAAGATCTCACCTCGTGGGGCATCAATGATCATGAGGAAGGTGAGGGATCAGCCCAGAACTGCACGGCAAGACCTGGTCAATGACCTGAAGAGAGCTGGGACCACAGTCTCAAAGAAAACCATTTGTAACACACTTGGAGGTGGAAACATCATTCTTTGGGGATGCTTTTCTGCAAAGGGGACAGGACGACTGCACCGTATTGAGGGGAGGATGTATCGCGAGATCTTGGCCAACAACCTCCTTCCCTCAGTAAGAGCATTGAAGATGGGTCGTGGCTGGGTCTTCCAGCATGACAACGACCTGAAACACACAGCCAGGGCAACTAAGGAGTGGCTCCGTAAGAAGCATCTTAAGGTCCTGGAGTGGCCTAGCCAGTCTCCAGACCTGAACCCAATTGAAAATCTTTGGAGGGAGCTGAAAGTCCGTATTGCCCAGCGACAGCCCCGAAACCTGAAGGATCTGGAGAAGGTCTGTATGGAGGAGTGGGCCAAAATCCCTGCTGCAGTGTGTGCAAACCTGGTCAAGACCTACAAGAAATGTATGATCTCTGTAATTGCAAACAAAGGTTTCTGTACCAAATATTAAGTTCTGCTTTTCTGATGTATCAAATACTTATGTCATGCAATAAAATGCAAATTAATTACTTAAAAATCATACAATGTGATTTTCTGGATTTTTGTTTTAGATTCCGTCTCTCACAGTTGAAGTAATAATAATAATAATAATAATAATATGCCATTTAGCAGACGCTTTTATCCAAAGCGACTTACAGTCATGCGTGCATACATTTTTGTGTATGGGTGGTCCCGGGGATCGAACCCACTACCTTGGCGTTACAAGCGCCGTGCTCTACCAGCTGAGCTACAGAGGACCAGTGTACCTATGATACCTATGATAAAAATTACAGACCTCTACATGCTTTGTAAGTAGGAAAACCTGCAAAATCGGCAGTGTATCAAATACTTGTTATCATAGGTACACTTCAACTGTGAGAGACGGAATTTAAAACAAAAATCCAGAAAATCACATTGTATGATTTTTAAGAAATTAATTTGCATTTTATTGCATGACATAAGTATTTGATACATCAGAAAAGCAGAACTTAATATTTGGTACAGAAACCTTTGTTTGCAATTACAGAGATCATACGTTTCCTGTAGGTCTTGACCAGATTTGTACACACTGCAGCAGGGAGCAGTGGCTTCTTCCTTGCTTATGTCGATATAGGACTCGTTTTACTGTGGATATAGATACTTTTGTACCTGTTTCCTCCAGCATCTTCACAAGGTCCTTTGCTGTTGTTCTGGGATTGATTTGCACTTTTCGAACCAAAGTACGTTCATCTCTAGGAGACAGAACGCGTCTCCTTCCTGAGCCGTATGACGGCTGCGTGGTCCCATGGTGTTTATACTTGCGTGCTATTGTTTGTACAGATGAACGTGGTACCTTCAGGCATTTGGAAATTGCTCCCAAGGATGAACCAGACTTGTGGAGGTCTACACTCTTTTTTTCTGAGGTCTTGGCTGATTTCTTTTGATTTTCCCATGATGTCAAGCAAAGAGGCACTGAGTTTGAAGGTAGACCTTGAAATACATCCACAGGTACACCTCCAATTGACTCAAATGATGTCAATTATCCTATCAGAAGCTTCTAAAGCTACATTTTCCAAGCTGTTTAAAGGCACAGTCAACTTAGTGTATGTACACTTCTGACCCACTGGAATTGTGATACAGTGAATTATAAGTCAAATAATCTGTCCGTAAACAATTGTTGGAAAAATGACTTGTGTCATGCACAAAGTAGATGTCCTAACCGACTTGCCAAAACTATAGTTTGTTAACAAGACATTTGTGGAGTGGTTGAAAAACGAGTTTTAATGACTCCAACCTAAGTGTATGTAAACTTCCGACTTCAACTGAATGTGGGAACTCCTTCAAGATTGTTTGAAAAGCATTCCAGGTGAAGCTGGTTGATAGAATGCCAAGATTGTGCAAAGCTTTCATCAAGGCAAAGGGTGGCTATTTGAAGAATCTCAAATATAAAATATATTTTGATTTGTTGAACCCTTTTTTGGTTACTACATGATTCCATATGTGTTATTTCATAGTTTTGATGTCTTTCTAACCCTACCACCCCTACCCTAATTGGAGTAAACTAGTGAACAACAACGCTTAAGCCTCTACTTCCAGCTTATACATATTATATATATTTTGTGGACACAGTCAATTTTACAATAGTTCTATTTTGTTTGTTTTTACTCCTGAACTTCCTCTACCCTTGCATTACCCTACTTTATTCCAATATGTTCGTCATTCAGTGATATTTATTCCCGCAGTAATTCTTTATAGATCCATACAGTTGTGATTAAGAAAACAGTGCATGCGGTAGGCTATGCGAAGAGACGGGTGAAGTGACATGCCTCGCCAACTTTAGAACTGCCTGGATGATAGTAGTAATGGCCACTGCCTAGCAACCATCAAGAGCTTAAGAGCGTAGTGTGTACCAATGCCGCCCCGGCATTACGGCTACATTTCCTACTAAGCCGTAGGGAGAACTTTACAGCAATCATGACTAGGTCGGTTGGCGGAAATAAAAGTAGAGCCTTTGTCACCGGCAATACCTTTCATATATAAGTCGGCAAAAAGTTGCCGGGATGCTAAAGTTGGCGGGAAAATGTATTGGTTTGAAAGGTGTATAAGGGATAACTTTACCCACAAACAATTACATACACACACATGCACAAACAGTGTTGTAGTGGAGGGTAATACCACTACATCACTGGGCACAAACACGCGCACGCACGCACACACAGCAACAGGATCATACCCACCTATCAGATGTCATGAATCAAAATGATAAGCTATCATGCATCCCAGTGAGGGGAATCAGTACTTCCCAACCCACATTAGAGAAAACACTTGGTCCAGGTAGTGATTGATCACAGTGCTGAGCCTTGGAGCCAGAGTTACAGCCAGTTTCACAGAGGCAAGGGCACAGCCTATAGCTGACCAAGGCAACTGTCCTCGTATGAGAGGACATTATGGCTCAAACTGTGGAGCTCCTCAGGTGGAACGTAACGTCCATTGTCAATAGAACCTCAACTCCCTTGATGGAACCTTCACAGCCAGTGGAATCATATTTGGGTGACAGCCGTGTATGTGAATGTACGATTGTGTTTGTGTGTGTGTGTTTGTGTTTGTGTGTGTGTGTGTGTGTGTGTGTGTGTGTGTGTGTGTGTGTGTGTGTGTGTGTGTGTAAGTTAGACTGGTAGACTTACGTTGAGTCATTGTCCTTGTCTCCCTTCTCTTTCTTCCGTATCCCAAAGGCCTTCCTGGTACGCTTTTTCAATCCTGAGGAGAAAAGAGAGGAGAGACACAGTTTAGTGTATTAACAGATCAAACACAGTCTCACACACACCACACACAAATGCACGCAGACATACACACACGGTAAGGTCCAAGCACACAAAACCAACAGGCAGCAGCATCAAAGAGCAAAAGTCAGAAACTCCCCGCTGTGAGGCCGTGTGTGTATGAGTGTGTGTGTTCATATGAAAAGGTGTCTAGGTACTGTATGTGTGTGAGCTTGAGCATATTAATGTTTGTGTATACACATAGTGCATGTGTGTGCGCGTCTGTCTGTATGTGTGCGTGTCCATTTGTGTGTATTCATAGAGTTCGAGCCAGGTTAAGCTGTCCAACGTCAGAACAGAGGCCCAGATCTATGGTCTAGTGGATCAAAGGTGAGCTTTTCATCTATTATTTAGCAGCAGAACACTCTGTGAAGGCTAACACTATCGCGCTGTGAAGGCTAATATTCGTTCACATCTCAAATGGTCCTCATGGCCAATGCAGATGGATGCCTTTCGGTTGATCATCGATCTGTCAAGGCCCCCTCCTCTGATACTGACACTAGCATTAGTACTCAGTCTAAATTCTGACTCTACCCAGCCTAAATCAATACACTGGATCATCAACAGAAATAACTCATAGTATAGCCAATGTGTAGGGAGGAACATGGCACCTACTTCTGCCTACACTTCATCCTTACTTAATATTTTACAGAGTACAACAGAGAATGGCTGATAAGATAATCGCCTTCACAGCAGAGAAACATTTCTCATCAAACACAAATCAAGAGTATTCTGCTTCAATAGATCTGTAACTTGCCGTGATACCAGACTATTAAAACATGAACTCAGAAGGGAAGCTAACTTCATTGCTCTCCATATTCAGTCCTCTGCAGACCAAAGAGCGACTGAAATGACTTGGAACAGAATATTGAAGCAGTACAATCACTTAAGATGACGCTCTAACAGCTCTAACAGAGACTGAAATTGGCATAATATTTTGGCATATTCACTTTCCAATTTTCCATTCTTACCCAAAATGAAGGCCCAGTTATCTCCCTGCATTTCTGGTCCCAATATTCAAGCCTTGTCATTCTCTCATGTCTGTCTCTGTCTGTCGTCTCACGCCTCTACCTCTCCAACTACAGTGTGACACGCACTGGTGGACCCAGAGCCTTGGGAGTGTGTCTGCACGAAGCAGCCTTGCGCACACGCACACACACACGGTATCTTTATCCCTAGCCTCTAGGCCAGTGCTTGAATTCAACACCAGTGGCTCAACTCATGAATTAACAACAGATGCGATAGTCGACAAATGAAGAATCAACACAGCACAGGGAGGAGGAGGCCTATCTCCATGCAATCTCACAGAGCACAGTCTAAACATGCCTCATCTGTAGCATGCAAATGAAAGTACCAGTCCAAGAGATCCGTGACAAGAGTCAAAATATGCCTCTATGCATGTCTGGCTCTCTCTCTCTTCCTCCTCAGATTTTCAGTATCTTAGGTCTGTCTCTGCCTATATCAGTACATACCTGTCCCTGTCTGTCTACAGGCGCTGTGAAAACCTGTCACTACCTACCTATACCTGTCTCAGCTGCCTCTGTGGATAACTGCCGCTGTCCTTCTGGGTGTTTGTCAGTATCTGCCTCTGTCACAGCCTCTGTCCCCGCTGGGTTTGTGGTTACCTGTCACAGCCTAACCCTACATGGAACCCAAAAGGGTTCTACCTGGAACCAAAAAAGGGTTCTCCTGGGGACAGCCGAAGAACCATTTTGGAACCCTTTTTTCTAAGCCTATGGGTAGTGGGTACCTGTCACTGCCTCACCCTGCCCTGACTGGAGAGGTCTGGCTCTGTGGGTACCCGTCACGACCCAAATGAGAAATCGATCCTAACAGGCCTGCTATCATTGATCCTGCTAACATATTTCCCCCCTGCATCCTCTGGGCTCAGCCACATAACTATAATCCCCTGGTGCAGCGGAGCTGTACACACACACAGGTCGCACGCATAGGAAGCATAGTAAGTGTCACATCTATAGTATTAGTGACTCACACACAGCAAGACCCCCACCATAGAAATAGTGACCTCTCTCTCTCTCTACTCTGCAAACTCGGTCATAACTCTAATGCAGTAAGTGTTTATGCCATGTATCTACGCTGAAAGCAACAGAGTCTGCCAAAATGCAGTCCTCTGACGTTGGGATTGACAACACATGAAGACCTCCCTCCCCATGTGTATGGGTTAATTAGTGGATATGAAAATAACAGAGTGCCTGGTTAGTGGATGCTATTTAATGACTTAATGGCTTCCGTACCAGAGCTAGCAGAAGTGCTAACGTCATTAGTGGTCTCTCTTAAAAACACAGTAATGTAATAGAGGGAAAGGCCACAGGAACTCCCAGCCAATAAGAGAGCAGGACCACCACCTAACTATGGATGGCATCTGGGCCAATGAGAGGGAGAAGAAAATACACTGAAAAAAATTATTTATACTTTTCTGAATTCCATTTTGATATCTTATGTCGTCTTTTGATATCTCTTCATCTAAGGTAGCTCTGTTTCTGTTTCTGTCAATCCCCCTACACGTTTCTCCAAATCTTGGGATCTATTCCAAACCAAAACAACAAGTCTTAAAATGAATCATAACTGTCAAAACAACTTCCAAAGGTAATCAGTTCTGAGTTGAAATAGTTTGATGTGGGTTATTTCGGCTTTGACAGACTGGTTGTTGCTAGTTTGCTGCCCTGGAAATTCTGCAAGCATAAAACAGTCTAGAAATAAAGATTGCATAGAAAAGACTGAATCTCTCCAAGACTCCAACTGCACCCTCTGGGGCCACACACTGATAGTGATCTACAGTGCTACTCTCTACTCTACAATAGCTCTGTTATCGCGGTGCTTTACTAGATGTTTGTATCTTGGCTATCCTGTGAGTTATTTGCTTGAGTCTGGCTTCCTGTGTGTCTGGAGTGCATGGGTAGACTAGTGTTGTGTGCCATTCTGTATTCTAAGCAACACAATGTGAGTGTTGTGGGCTTTTATGTATATATGTCTCTCTGTGTGTCTGGGTTTAACTGTAGTCTAGAGATGTTGACTGTCTGATTCAGACACTCCAAAAGCAAGAAAGCTATGATTGAAAGCATACGCACACAGATGCACACACACATGCTCACTGACACACGCGTTTGTGCACACACACACACAAACTGTTCCCCTCTCTTTCCCCCTAGCTGGTGACTGGGCCCATTCAGGGTGCTATACACTCTCTGGGAGGGAGAAGCAGGGACTGTTTTACAAGCTGGTTTAAAGGAGGAGAGCTAGAGAGGCTGGAGAACCTTTTTATCCACAGTGAACCAGATTGAGGCTGGCCGCCAGGAGGGCTCTCCACACAGACAGGCGGCAGGGAGGGGGAGATGGATGCTCCTGTGCATACTGAGTAGAGAAGAATGGCACACACTGAGGAAGCAGAGAAACACCGGTGTCTGGTCACTTAAAGAGTGGCCATTCTAGGAAGGTGTGTGGTCATGCTGCAAGGTGTGTGGTTGTTCAGCAACAGTTATTCTTGGAAGGTGTGAGGTTGTGGAGGTGTGGGAGGACACTGGTTCAGAGAGACTATGCTCAGGATCTTAAAAGCATGGTTCTTCAGGAAGATGTATGGTAGTTAACAAAGGATTGTTTTTGTGGTGATTCATACAATAAAGGGAATAAGGGATACATAGAAGTGTGTGGTGATTCATACAGGTGTGATAAGATAAGTAGTACCCCGTTTAGTCAAATGGTCGATTGTTTGGTCGATAGGCTGTTGGTCGACCAAGATTTTTTGAGTCGAGCAGTCGCAAATATATATTTTTCATGGCACAGGAGACACCTGTCTGATCTACGCCAGTCTCAGTGGACTAATCCATTGAGGATGCCGTGGGGATGCCACGGTCCAAGAATAAGGGGAGTGTGGCTAAGATGCACAAGGTACATCTCTCTCCAGAATGCACTCTCTCCCTCCCATCATTTTGTGTGCATTCATTGTTTCATAACTTCATTGTGTGAATTTCCAACAGACCCTGTGAGACAAATTCACCTTTCAGCAGGACAATAACTTAAAACACAAGGCCAAATGTACACTGAATTTGCTTACCAAGACGACATTGATTGTTCCTGAGTGGCCTAGTTATAGTTTTGACTCACTGTCAAAGGTGATTCTAACATATATTGACCAGGGGTGTGAATACTTATGTAAATTAGATATTTCTGTATTTCATTACATTTGCAAAAATGTCAAAAAACATGTTTTCACTTTCTCATTATGGGGTATTGTGTGTAGATGCCTGAGATTTTTTAAAATATTTAATCAATTTTGAAATCAGTCTGTAACAACAAAATGTGTTGTTACAGGGGTGTGAATACTTTCTGGATTCACTGTAGAAGTAGGCCTAGGCTACCTGGCCTGCACGCAAATGTAGGCCTATAAATGTGCCCATTTGGGGATGTCTGATAGTATTTCTAATTGTTTTAACTCACTACCACTAATGAGCTGTGGAGCTTCTCAAAGTAATTTTTTCTTCACCTCAAACAGCAAGTAAACAAGTTCTGTATTTAGAATCTATTGAGAATGACAATAGTTCCTCAATGTATTTGAAAAATATTTCCAGCTCTCTCCCTTTCGATAACCACTCGGAATGAAAGGGAAAAATGTAATGCTCTGATCCAGTGGAAACTTCATAAAATACCTGATTACTTCTTATCCCTTGCACAAATAGCCTGCAGCCATAGCCGCGGGAAGCTGGGGTGCTTTTCCACAGAAGTAATGCACTGGGCCTTTACAACTCCTGTATTAGTGGACCGATATAGCAGTCTGCAGCATGGGGAGAATAGTATATATATATATTTTTTAAGGATATTTTCTACCTGCAGGCTGCAATGTTTTTATTTGTTTGCTTTATGTAGGCTATTTCTAAATTGTTGGCAATAGCAATATAAGTTACTTTTAGATTTGTATCAT